GTAGCGAAAACTCGATGTCTGATCACAAGCACATTAAGTTTGTGATTGGAGCATCACCATCCTTTGAAACCGTTACTTTTAGGGATCCGAAAGCGACCTCCTGGGATACCTATAGAGATAGCCTAAGGAGGAATCTTTGGAAACGTTTCCTAAAAGCATCAAAACAATTGAAGGTCTGGAGTTAGCGACGGAGACAGTAACCGTAGGTATCTGTGAAGCCTTCGAGGACAGTTGTCCCGTCAAAACCAAGACCTCAACACGAAAAGTTGCTTGGTGGAATTCTAAGCTGAAAGACCTTAGGGAAAAGACCAGGAATCTATTTAATAGGGCTAAGAAAACCAAAGAGTGGGATATTTATAGTGCAGCCCTAACTGAATATAATAAAGAAATTAGGAAAGCCAAGAGAGCATCGTGGAGGAAGCTATGCGAGGAAGTTGAGTCTTTGCCTCGCAGTGCAAGACTACACAAGATGCTATCGAAAGCTAAACCTAATCAGATCGGGCTTCTTAAAAAGCCGGATGGTAACTTCACTGATAGTGAAACAGAAACTTTGGAGTTACTAGCGTCAACCCATTTACCAGGGTCATACAAGACTTCAGCCTTGAACTCTTTCAGAGCCCTACGAAGGCCTTGCAATGAGGACTGGCGTAGGGCTGCAAAGATAATAAGGCCAAACCTGGTGCAGTGGGCTGTTGACTCCTTTGAACCATTTAAATCAAGCGGGGAGGATGGAATAATTCCCATCCAACTACAGAGGGGTATCGACATCCTTCTTCCTTATCTGGTGAAAATCTTCAGAGCAAGTTTTGCATGGGGATACATTCCAGAACGATGGACAATTGTCAAGGTTCTATTTCTACCTAAGGCTGGTAGAAAGGACTACGCTTTACCAAAGTCCTTTAGACCTATAAGCCTATCTTCCTTTCTTCTTAAGACATTGGAAAAGGTTATAGATAGATATATAAGGGATGTAGCTCTAGCTACGAGGCCCATACATTACAACCAGCATGCTTACCGCAGAGGCAAATCTACGGAAACAGCCCTGATCAGTGTCATTGAGAGGGTCGAAAAAGCACTGGAGGATAAAGAAATAGCTCTTTGTTCTTGTCTTCGACAGTAGCCCCACATTACTGCTGATTGGGGGCCTAACATCTAAAAATGTTGACCCCACAACCATCAGATGGGTGAAGTCGATGCTCTCACAACAGAACAGAAAGGCAAAAATAGCGCTGTTTCAAACTTCGATTGAGGTTGCAACCACAAGAGGCTGCCTACAAGGAGGTGTTTTGTCACCCCTTCTTTGGACTCTTGCAAACGCAAGTTTGACCAACTATTGTACAAAATGGCAGACCTACGCATTGACACATTGGGTTATGCTGATGTGCTGACCTTGTGATCATTGCAAGGGGCTTTTGCCAAAGTACTTTATCGTCAATAATACAAAGAGCCCTAAACACCATAAATAACTGGTGTAGGGATAACAGTTTATCAGTTAATGCTGATAAAACTGTTATAATACCCTTTACCAAAAAGAGATGGTTGGACAAATTAGTCCAACCAAAACTTAATATTAAAGAAGTACCATTTTACACGAAAGTTAAGTACTTGGGCGTAACAATCGACCAAAAACTAACGTGGAACTCTCACCTTAGCAACGTATGCCATAAGGCAAAAATTGCTTTAGGTACGTGCAGTCGTTTGGTCGGGAACAACTGGGGCTTGCGTCCCAGTATGGTCCTATGGCTGTACAGCAGCATAGTGAGGCCGATTCTCACCTACGCCTCTATTGTCTGGTGTAACAAGGCCAACCAAAAGACGACAGCGGACAGACTAAATAGTCTACAAAGGACTGCCTGCCTAATGGCAACTGGAGCTATGCGATCATCGCCTGGAGCGGCTCTTAATGCACTTCTATGCCTAACGCCCCTTGATCTCTATCTAGACAAGGAGGCGAGGGCTAGTTTGTATAGGATTAATGCCCAGGGCGGTCTGAGCTTGCTCTCCTACAGATTGAGATCCATGCTCGACTCAATTAAGGAATCACCGGTCTTATGCATGATCTCAGATATCATGCGTCCACTATACACTTTTGATAAAAAGTATATAGTGGAATTACCCTCCAGAGAAGACTGGCTGATTGGCCAGGTTATCTGTGAGGTCGGTAGCCTCATATGGTATACCGATGGGTCTAAAATGGGCCTCGACGTAGGCTTTGGAATTTACGGGGAACGCCCCAAATTCAAACTTAGTATGAATTTGGGTAGATACACCTCTATCTTCCAGGCAGAAATTTTCGCCATACTTCGGTGTGCGGAAATCAATCTGCAAAAACACTACGTCAACCATAAAATTTACATAAACTCTGATAGTCAAGCAGCACTGCTAGCGCTGAGATCAAACTTAGTGAACTCAAAGCTAGTTGGAGACTGCGTGAACCGTTTAAACGCCCTGGGTTGTAAAAACAGGGTCGTTTTAAGATGGGTTCCGGGTCACGAGGGTATTGTAGGCAACGAATTTGCCGACAAACTTGCACGGGAGGGCTCAAAGTGCACACAATTTGGACCCGAGCCATTTTGTGGAATCTCAAGAAGCCTAGCCCGATTGACCCTTGAAACTCTTTATCACAATAAATCACTTAAGATCTGGTCTGACACACCAGGCTTAAAAACATTCTAAAACCTTAATCCGGGCTTTTGATCGTAAATTCGCTTCAGAAGCCCTGGGATTAAGTAAAAATAAATTGCGCATTCTGGCAAGAGCCCTAACTGGACACTGTTGTCTTAAAAAGCACATGTCCATCCTGGGACTAAGCAACTCAAGGATGTGTCGGTTCTGTTCCGTAACGGAAGAAACGCCTCTACACATCCTAACCGTTTGCGGACCCTTAATGCGCAAACGTAACACTCATCTGGCACACTATCTACTTCGCTCAGAAGAAGTGAAATTGCTCACCGCTAAGCAACTCCTTCGATTCATTGAAGACATAGGGCTTAGCAGTGAACTAAAGCCATAGCAGCGATCACAATAGATCTTCTAGGTCGCAGTGATACTAGTCTCTTTACCTAGACCTGCATAGCTGCTCGAACATATTAAAAAAAGGGGTTGGTGCGGCCCATATATACCTACATAATATATCCTCGATTACGAATTAAATGCAGATGAGTTGTCACCCGTGAGGACTAAGATAGAATGTCCCATTTCCAGTAAAAAGGGTCTTCGGTTCTCTACACTCACCATACGAAACACAGCAGCATTACGCTGCTATTTTAAGCGGGTATTCTGTGAGAGCGTGGTTCACCCCCGGTCGAGCCGACTCATTCGTCCTACAACTATACTACTTATATAGCTGCAGCAAGGCTCTACCACGCATAATTTTAATTCTTTGAAGTCTTTAACAAAGTTTTTAATTCTTTGAAGATTTTTACATTTAAAAACAAGCTAATTAGCGCTATGCAAATTATTTTATATGCCATTCTTATTAGAATGCCTAAAATTTTAAAATGAAAAACGTATGTATGTATATACATGGAGTGGTAGAGCTCAGATACAAAGCGCACGTTGTGATTTCACAGAACTCGAGCAACCAGCAACCTGCTTTACAAAATAAATCGACAGAGACACCAATGAAATAATTATTTAGTATTTTAAGTGCTTATTTACCACGTGCTAGGCGGTACAGGAAAACATCGTGAGGAAACCTGCATGCTGAGGGATACAAATATTTCGAAGAGATGTGAGGCCAACACGGAATGGAGCACGCCGCGGACTTATTCTTCCATAACTCTCTCTCTCTCTCTTTCCGTGGGACGCATACAGGCTGTAAATTTATTTTTATATGTAGTTACCTAAACTATGTATTTTACGCAGATTTTTTTCATATTATAATTCAAAAAACATCTGCGTAAAATGAAGGTCTAAGGGTTTGAATCCCTCACAGAACAACTATTTTTTGGCCTACATGGTTGTTGATGTTGTGTAAATTTATGTTTGTAAACTGCCCCCACGTTACAGGAGAAAATCCTAGTGCGGTAACGTAAAAAAAAGAGAAATTATACTGATGGGGATCCGAAATACTTGTATCTATTGTCCCCCAGATCTAATGTCGATTACGACGGCCTGTTTTAACGCAGCCTCGCCATCTGCGCAGGACTGGACAATTGTGTCCGAGTGTGTGCGTAAGCACACGTGTAGAGACTTAGTATTCCCTCATTCTCATAGTCCGATGGGAGTACAACCCGACACGACCGCGCTTGACCGACGGTATAACCTTCTTTCCGAGTCACATTTATGAAACCCGCGGCTAACTCCCTGACCGTGCTTCTCGTAGAATACTATAATACATACATAATAGAACGGGGGAGTGGGCGGAGCCCGTGTAGCCACTAACATGTCAATTCACACGTATAAATGTCAACACAATCAATAGTTTCCAATTTTCGTGTCAAGCGTCACCGCAACATGCAAATTATTTAAAAAATGGCAAATTGTGTAATAATTACTTACGTGTCGAAAGAACAGCGGGAAATGGAATTTAAATAAAGAAGACCTTCTACAACCAGTAAGTCGAAATTATTTATCTGTCTGGCAACACAGCGAATCTGGTTTGTAGTAGTGATAATACGATGTAATTGCTTGTATGTGTGCTACCGGCGACGCCAACCCTCCTACAAAATAAGGTTGACAGCCATTCTATTGTGTATTATAGTATTCTATGGCGCTTCTGCTGAGAATTACTTAACAGAAAAACTCAATTACTATTTTTTGTGTTCGACTCGGAATGCTAACCTAAGACCTCATGATCAACCGCGCACACGTTCACTAGACCAACGAGGCAGTCGAAACGTTTTTTTTTCGTCAATAAAACATATCTGTACCTATAATATTACTATAGTACTGAACATTGTGGCTCTATTAACCGCATAACTATTTAAAAGTTTCATTCGACCTTTTCATTAACTCGCATCCTAATTAAAACGAGTTATTTTTCACGTTCGTTTCGGATGACATTCGCCAGTTACCGTGGCGGGGTAGTGCAGGCGCGTGAGCTGGAAACGATGGAGAAATTATACGATACAGTGAAAAGGGCCGTCGTCACCTATAAATTGGACACTTGTTGTTGTTTCGCTCCTGTGAGGACTGGAGTGTTGATCACGGGATATTTTAATATTTTTATATCGGTAAGAAATTGTAACTGATCTGTAGGTATATTGCTTATTTCACTCAAGACTTCGTGATTCAGTGGTCACTATTAAGTCGTGGATTTAAAAGCTGGTATTCTGTGAAAGTGTTGTCCTTCCCCGGTCGAGCCCACCCATTCATGTTGCAACCAGACATGCCGTAGCTATAGTTATGCACAAATTGCGGCACAAGCTACGGCTCCAGACTTTTCGGTTTGGATATGTATTGTTTAAAAATATTGTTGTACAAAGAATAATATATTAAGATTGTTTGAACATATCTAAATGTGACGTCAGCGTGCCCAACCAACAAACAAAGTTTTTGCCCAATCTTGGAGTTAGATTCCAATCTTGTCTTGGAGCCTTAGTGGACAAATTCGCTTGTTATTCGAATCGAACTACTTACCTGATATTTTGACTGATTAAAGTGGACCTAACAATTTTTGTTCTACCCGAAACTTTAATGTGAGATGTGGTTGAAGAGATAACGTATCTTGTTTGATCAATAAACATTTAAAATATTTATTAAATAATGAAGAATGAAGAAGCACATATACGTCATGGGCTGGTAGATTTTTCTTGTAGTTTTTCTGTACCTATTTCGATGAGGAACGGTTTTCTTGCTTGCGTTACACGATAACGCGATGTTTATGAATTCAAATAATATTACCTAAACAAATATTGAACGCAGCATGCTATTTGGTCTTCATCGATGATGTCTAGAATGAGCGTTGCAATACATTATTTTCTTCTAAGTCGAAGATTACCAATCATTAATATAATATAAAAATAATAATAATGAGTCATTATAAGAATTAGACGTGGCATATTTCAAAGTGATTCTTTAAGCCCACTTTGGTTTTGCTTGGCATTAAATCCACTATCTAGTCAATTAAATGCATCCAATATTGGTTGTTCACTTGATTTGAGATTTTACGAAATCACCATCAAACGTATCTCACATAAACCACTTGTTATATATGGACGATATAAAATTGTATGCCCAGAACCAGGAAGATTTAAACCAACTTGCAAACATAACTGAAAGCGTCTCACTTGGTATGGGTACCCTAGGGTTAAGTGCTCGTAGGCTCACTTGATGAAATGGAGACATATAAATATTTAGGATATCAACAATCGAAATTACTACATTATAATGAAATTAAGTCACCATTAAAACAACAATTTAAACAAAGACTAAACTCGATTTTAAAGATTCATCATGATGCAAAAAATACAATAAAAGCAATAAATACGTATGCCATATCGATCTAACTTATTCGTTTGGAGTGATAATCTGGATAGTTAGGAGCTCAAGTACATCCAACGCACAATAAATACGAAACGTAGAAAGCATCACACTGATACATATACATATTGCGATAGCAAATGATCACAAGCTTACACCGCCTAATTTAAAAGACAGAAATAGACAAAACAACGAGAAACAAGTACGTAACCTAATCAAAATTAATGAATGAGCCCATAAGTCTTTACATGGAATGCACTATCGAGATCTAAACCTACCACACGTTGACAGATCAGCGTCGAATGAGTGGCTGAAGCGCGGAGTACTGTTTCTCGAGACGGAAGGGTTTATCCTCGCTACTCAGGACCAGGTTATAGAAACTCGGAATTACATAAAACATATAATGAAAATACTAAATACAACAGATGTTTGTCGTAAATGCAATAGCCCTCTAGAAAACATACAACACATAACCGGATCATGTAAAGCAATTGCCCAAACAGACTATAAATATAGACATGACCAGGTTGTTAATATTATATATCAAGAATTAGCACTAAAATACAAGGTCATCTTAACCTTACGCATACCTTACTATAAATATATTTCTGAGACTGTCTTAGAAAACCAAACATATAAGTTATATTTCGATACTGACAGAAGACAGTCCACTTCAACAGACCTGATATAACTATAGTAAACAAAACAGAAAAAACAGTAACTTTAATAGATATAGCTGTACCTAATACCCACAACCTGCAGTCAACAATATCAGAAAAACTTACAAAGTATACAGACCTCAAAAATGAAATAAAACGTATGTGGAATCTTAAAACTGTAAGTATAGTAAGTACCTACCCATAGTTCTGTCCACCACAGCGGTAATATCTACAACTTTGCACCAGACAATCAAATCACTTGATCTACCAGAACAAATTTTTGTTAGTTTACAGAAGGCTGTAATCCTAAGCACATGCTGATTTGTCAGAAAGTTTTTGCAGTGTGAACAGATAATATAACAATAAATATCATATACAGGCTGACAGATGTCGACTTGACTTAGACCCATGAGCATCTTTGTTCCGGTAGTAGGTAATAACCGAGAGTAAAAAAGTTACCTTTACAATAATAATATAGAAACATTTTATTTGGATTTGGTTAGGACATTTAAATTAAGGGATCGAGCAGCATTAGAATAAAAGGTTCAAAACAATCGTAGATACTTGAAGTGACTAACGGGAAAATAAGTAACCTTCGCATTGGCTTCTGTTGCGAACTGGGCCTATTGCTAACTTTAAATATTATAGACACTTTGTCTAGAATACTTAAAGCCCTATTTCAAAAGTTATTGTATAAAAATAATTTTATTCTTTTTGGTTCTTTAGAGTTGGCCTTTAAGTTTCAATAAATGTTTAATATTGATAATTATTTTTTCTAATGGTTGTATAATACATTTTCCCATTTTATCTCCTGGATTTGGCAAGAAGTAATCACCCTGAAGGTCGGGATGTTGAGTGTTTTTTGTATCATCAAAAATGATCTAATAATGTACCGCATCAATCATAAGGTGCCACTGTACTCAGTAATCAGCTACTTTAATTACTAAGCCATGTAGTTAACAGAAAAACCAATACTTGTGAACGCTTTTTAATTATATTAAAACATGAATTCGTTTACCATAAGTATCAAAGTGCATAAAAAAAGACTAATCACTAATTTAATGGAATAAAAATGGCCTCGGGCTCAACATAATCGTGCAGAAATTCTACAAGATGTTATCCTGCCAGCTTCACATCGCTATATTTCACAAATGTTCATTAAACTTACAGCCTATGTAAGTACGTCCAGGGCTGGTCAAAGGCTTTTTCTCATTTTTAAGGAGTAGGATTGTGGGGATTTTTAAACTTTTACGTTAAATAATATTGAATGTTTATAAAGTAAAGTAAAGTTACAGCCCATATACGTCCGTCCCACGGCTGGGCACAGGCCTCTGCTCATTTCTGAAAGGGTTTTAGGGCAAGGAATTGTCCGCCGCGCTGCCCCAATGCGTGTTGGCGAACTTCACATGTCTTTTAATCTTCGAAATATTTTTTTCTTATTTCTCTGACATGCAGGTTTCCTCACGATGTTTTCCTTCACCGCCGAGCACGTGGTAAATCAGCACTTAAAATTGCAATTAACAATTTCATTGGTGTCGGCGGGGATCGAACCCTGTTCGCTCGCGTACTGTGAAATTTACAGCGAGCGCTAACCATCTCAGCTACCACGGCAAGGAATGTTTATGATATTTTATAATTTACGTTTAATATCTAGATCTTTAAAAACAGTTAGCGCTCTGATGTTGATATCATTGGCTTATTTATATTTGGTTGATATGCACTTGCAGGGCCATCAATCGTTTATCCGTAATGTTACAAGCAATAAACAATTTTTAACGAACATCATATTTCCTCCAAATATTTTATTTCTTAGACATGAAAGTTTCCTTGTAATGTTTTCCTTCACCGCCAAGCATGGTCATAAGCAATTAAAATTGCAATCAACAATTTTATTGGTGTCAGCGGGGATTGAACTCAGGTACACGTACGACCACGGTTCGGCTATTATCACATTAAAGATTTTTTACTTATGTGGTTATTATTAAGATTCAAGATAACAAAACCGTTTTTAGATGCTGTCGTTGGTGGGAACTGCTGACGGAGGCATTACGCCTCCACTGATGGCCGTACAGGAAGTGATACTGGACGATGAAGGGTCTAAGATCATCGGCATATTCGCTTACGGCACCGAGCTCGCTTTCAACATGTTATTACTATGCGCGATGTATCGGGTAACTATAAACATCTTTTGATTCTTCTGTATCAGTGCATAAAAGTTATCTACTGATCATGGGCCTCTGCCATACTTTAACAGATAAAAGATATTTAATTTTGCAAAGGTGGGAACAGTACATATTTTACCCGTAGTAAGTAGCAAAAAATACAGAATTATAAACTAATCCACTCAACTAATTTACCAAATTTTAACAAAAGAAAAAAACAATAACCCAAAAGCAAACATAATTCTGATTTTTAACATTATACAGCAAACATAATTCCGATTTTTAATATTATACATAAATTCAATCTCAAAAGATTTTTTTTTTCAGTCAAGAAAACTTTTAAGCTAGTATGCTTTGACAGTCAAAAAGCTTCGAAGCCTTTTTTTAAATAAGATAGCGGCAAATCTTTCCAACTTTTAGGTATTTTATCATATGTATATGACGGGAGCCATGCAGCATTTTGGATTAGCAATTGGTGCCACACTTATTGGGGAATCACAGTATCAAATCTTTCGTTCCGTCTCGATTGCCTGGAGTGTTAAATGCTGGCTTCGTCGCCAGGTGTACTCATAAAGCTTAATCCGATACTGGCATATACTCTACATAATGAGATAGATCTAGTCAGAGAATAAATAAAAGCAAGTAGTTAAATATCGTGTAAGGTAACATTGTCTCATGTAGTGCTACCGCAAGGCTCAGGCCCAACTGGACGTGGTTACACAAAAAAATGTCAAACCCGCAAATTGTTAGTTTTGAATAAAACTAGTTTTTACAGGTTTTATCGCGTATATTAACTTATTTTATATTCCCGACGTTTGGAGCACTTTACAGCACACGTGACGTAGGCTCGACACAGTGAACGAGTGAAACCGGCCACAGTCGAGCGTGTGCCTGCTGTACTGCCATATCCATATATCAGAGGTGTCACTGATAAGATTGGCTACATCGTAAAGCGTGCTTCCGTTAAAACATACTTCAAGCCACCGAAAAAGATTATTTAGTTTTTACCATCAGCATCAGTCAAGTGTAATGTCCCTCTGCAAGATGCAGGAGTGTACAAGCTTGATTGTGAATGTTGTCTCTCTTACATAGGACGAACTAAACGATCAATAAAAACTCGCGTTAAAGAACATAATATGGATAGCTGATGTGAAGAATCGACGCTCCGGGAATATCTGCAGTCACTACATCAGATTTGATAGACCAGAAATCGTCGCTAATAAACACCGATTCCATCCAAGGATGTTTCGCGAGGCTATTGATATCCTGAAACATCCTAATATCAATAGAGAAGATGGCTGGGTGCTTTTATCTGCTAGGGATCCTATAATTAATAAAATTAAATCCCAACCCAAGCATACAACTGTAATGGACGCCACACACGGTCAAGTTCAACTGATCATTCCAACTGATCAGTTCAAACTAAAGCTGTTGATATTTTTTTAAATATTAAATTTTCCATGTATCGATAATTATAAATATATCAATATCGGAGTTTTATATATAAGTTTATTTATCGATATATCAAAAATCCAATATTTAAAAAATATCAATAGTTTTAGTTTGAACTGATCAGTTGGGATGATCAGTTTAACTGACCGTGTGTGTTGACCATAAGATTTCAAAATAGTATTAAGTTCATACTGCGTAGATCGGAACAAAAATTAATAATTTAATCTGGAGGTAGCCGTGGTTAACTATGACATTGGGACCAAACCACGCGTCAGTTTCTCTATCTAGTCTGTGATTGTGATGTCGAACACCTAAGTCTCCCCTTTCTGTATACATTACTCTACTCTATGGTCTCCCCGTGACCATGGCTGCTGTAAGGTGCTGGAAACGTCGGGAATATAAAATAAGTTAATGTACGAAATATAAAAAAACATTATACTAATTTAGAGTTATTGATAGGTATTTGAAATTTGTGTTGGTATTCAATGATATTGACTAGCTACTGGAACTTAGTGAAGGATCCGGGGGTGACGCCGTGACTGGCACGCCAGACACGGACCTCGATGACACTGAGGTCATCAGCATGAAAGAGATTGAACGTGCGATTCAAAGTTTGAAATGTGGTAAGGCTGCGGGACTAGACAGCGTTACTGCTGAAATGGTCAAGTACGGTGGGCCTCGCGTCTGGGACAGCTTTCATCTGCTGCGCAATTTGTAGTGGCGGACGGGAGGTGTCCCGGATGATTGGCGATCCGCGGTCATTGTGCCTTTATATAAAGGTAAAGGTTCACATTTTGACTGCGGGTGCTATCCGAGTCAACTTGATCAGTTTAGCAAGCAAAGTTTACTCGAAGGTTTTGACACGTAGGATGCAAGAGCAATCGGAAAGATTTTTATGGGAGGCACAATGCGGATTTAGACCTGGAAGAGGATGCACGGATCCATGATCACGGAGAAGCTTCTGAGTGTTAACCAGAAGATTTTCTGTGCTTTTGTGGATCTGGAGAAAGCATTTGATAAGGTTATAAGGAAGAAAATGTGGGAACTGTTGCCGGAATATGGTGTGGATGGTCGATTGTTAAGGGCTGTGCAGTCACTTTACTATGACTGTAAAGCCTGTGTGCGGGTAGGGCATGACCTGTCACCCATGATTAGCGTCCAAACGGGCGTAAAACAGGGTTGTGTCATGTCTTCTTGGCTGTTCATACTGCATCTCGACAGCTGTTTAGAGAAGCTGAAAAATAGCTGTTTGGATGTGAAATTGGGTGACATTAAAGTTAATTGTCTGATGTATGCTGATGATGCAGTGCTTATTGCACCATCAGAAGCAGAACTGCAGGCATTAGTCACGTGTATGAAAGAGGAATGTGAAATTAAAGGTCTCCGTTTGAATGCTAATAAAACTAAGGTTCTGGTATTTGAAAAGGACGAAGAGAGAACGAAATGTGAAATATGGGTAAATCAGGAATGTCTAGAACAGGTAAATGAAATTGTATACTTGGGGAGTGCTTTCAGCCGGAATGGAAGATGTGATTTAGATGTGGACAGGCGTGTCGCTGCCGGGAACAAAGTCAATGGTGCCCTGAATGCGTTAGTCAAAAGGCAAGGCGTAGTGAAGAGTGCACGCCTTGCAATTCATAATGCAGTGTTGGTGCCGACTTTGTTATATGGCAGCGAAACCTGGGTATGCCAGAAGAAGCATAAAAGCAAGTTGAATGCAGTGGAGATGCGATCTCTTCGTAAAATGTGCGGCGTTACCATACCCGACCGAAAGCGAAACGAAGAGATTCGCAATATGGCAGGATTGAAAGATGACCTTATCACAAAAATTGATAGGGGCGTACTCCGATGGTTTGGGCACGTTGAGCGAATGAGTGAAGACCGAATGGTGAAGAAAATATATAGCGCGAAAGTAAATATTAAAAGGTGTCGAGGTAGACCGAGACTAACTTTCGAAGACCATGTGAGCAAATTACTCGAAGAGGGGAAGGTCAGAAGTACTCGGATACCTAGACGTGCATGTATGAAGAAGTTAATGAACCTGAAAGAAGCGAAAGAGGTATGTAAGGATCGTGACACTTGGCGATCTGTTCTCTCTGGCTACCCCGTTAGGGATTGTGCGTGAAGATAAGTATACTGGAACTGTTTCCAAGGTATGAAAGTATAAACTGTGGATTGGATGGTTTTTGTGTGACTACGTCCTAATTCTGAGAGGGTATTATGATAAGGAAGAGTTCGTTGCGTTGCCGTTGCCCTAAGTTGACAGAGGTCACATAAACTTTTGCCAATTTGCTATCAAATATAATATTTTGGAGGATATTAGCCGCTGAGCTAACATGACTCTTAGACGGCGGAGTCAAAATCGTGTGTTTTGAGCCAATCTATGAGACGGCCTATCTTGCGGTAGACTTGTGAACAATTCACAAGAACTTATTCGAAAAAGTTAACTTAGTTAACTGCATTTTGTTTTCAGAAAGACATCATATTACTGCGGACTTATATGTACTTCGGATTGACATCCATTGTGGCATCCATTCTCGTCTACTCTATGGTCATTGCCGTCTTATCTACTCTTACGAAGATCAACGTAATAGGCAACTTGGGTAAGTAAAAAAATGTTGAATAAACTCTTTTTGGGTTCAGAATCAACTATATGCTAGTGCAATTCGTGTGTAATTGTTTGGCAACTCCCTGTACCTGATGTCCCTATACAAAAAAATAGGTATATTTTTTTATAGAAGAGGGGGCAAACGAGCATGCGACTCATCTGATGTTAAGTGACTACCACCGCCCATGAGCAACCGCAACACCAGGGTAATTGCAGGTGCGTTGCCGGCCCTTTAGAACGGAGTAAGCTCTTTTCTTGAACGTCCCCAGGTCGTATCGGTCCGGAAAAATCGACGGTGGTAAAATAATTCCACAGAGAGGTCGTACGCGGAAGATAACGCCTTTTGAAACGTACAGTGGTGGACCGCCAAGCATCCAGATGGTGTGGATGGTATCGGGATGTTTGCCGCGTAGTGCGATCATGAAATTTGGCGGCTGGGATTAATCCGAACAATTCCTCAGAGCACTCCCCATAATATATGCAAAAGAAAATGCAAAGAGATGCAACATCTCTTCGCAGCGCCAGTGAATCGAGCCGATCGGAAAGCATTCGGTCGTCGACGATTCGAGCCGCTCTGCACTGGATGCGGTCAAGTAGAAAAAGCTGGTACTGGGGAGCCCCAGCCCAGAGATGGGAACAATATTCAATGTGCGGCCGAACCTGCGCCTTGTAAAGTTGCAGGTGGTGTGCCGGCATGAAATACTGTCCTGCTCTGCTGAGCACGCCAAGCTTTTTAGAGGACAATTTCGCCTTCTCTTCCATGAAACTGTACGTCACTCGATATGTCGACGCAAAGGGTTCCGATACTGGCTGAGGCAACAAGGGGAGTGCCTTGAAAATGAGGATGAGATACGACAAAGGGGTTCTTTTTTGCTGTTAACGCGCAAACTTGTGTCTTCTGGGGGTTAAACTGGACTAGATTTAGTTGCCTCCAATCCAAGACTCTGTTCAGCAGAGACTCGACTTCAGACACAAGTTTGTCCCGGTACTCGGAGACGTTTTCCCGAGAAATATTGGCACGGGCGGTATACAGAGTATCACCAGTGCTATCATCTGCATAGCAATGAATGTTACGGGTTTGCAACATATCATTGATATGCAGAAGAAACAGCGTTGGTGATAGCACGCAGCCTTGTGGAACACCAGCATTAATAGGCTTGTAATCGGATCCTGCACCGTATATTAGTAATTGTTTACTTTAATTATAACAGACTGTGTAACAAAACATTTTTGTGTAAATAATCAATAAATCAACATACAATTAGTAAATCAACAGGTCAACATCAAGAATAAATTATTTTATTAACTGCTATTTTGAATTAAATCGCTTTCTTCAGTTGAATAATTTTTGTCAGCACCATCATCATCGGTTTCCGTCATCATGCTTACAATTTTACTACAAAAATTGTATTTCACTACTTGGCCAGTTGTTCCTTCAATCAGTTGGAACCAAATCTTCAAATGTGGGTCTTAAAGCCAAGAATCCCGAAACTTTTGTGTATACTGTGATTTCGATATAGTGACTTAATAAGCACTTAATATGATATTGTGTTTAGTAAGCTACTACTAAAATATTCTAAAAGGAATACCAGCTAATAGTGTAGCGCCACCGCGATGGCTGTCTGATATTACGTCATGTCTGATGAATCAGTGCTGCCTACACAACAAAGGTAAATTGTCCTTAAATGAAGTAGAAATTTATTTCGAAACGTGTAAGCGGCTTAATGTTCGAGTGATCGTCTCTTCATTAATTGAAACTGAATTCTATTGAACCACTAGAAAAAACCTACCAGCCGCTGAAAACAATAGTCATCTATTCAAAAGGGGGTGAAAACCACCAGTTTTAGTGGAAAATCCACTAAGTTGGCAACACTGCCCGTTGCCTTGGACCACGCACGCGCTCGAAATCGAAACTATCGCCACTACAATAAAGGCCACGTGTATATACCCACTAATTTGATATTCTCGTTTCTCGTACTACGAGTAACATCGCGTTGTCGTTCTTACCGCTAACCTACAATGACCAAAAAATACCTAATGGACGATATACACGGTCAGTTCAACTGATCATTCCAACTGATCAGTACAAACTAGGACTGTTGATATTTTTTAAAATATCGGATTTTCGATATATCGATAAATAATTATACATAAAACTCTGATATTGATATATTTATAATTATATTATGTAGAAGTTAGGGAAATATAAGTTCACCGAGCATCTTGACGCTTTATATTGGCATTTCAAAAGCATTGTGATGCTTTACACTGTATAACGGTTGGGTTATGGCATATTAAAATGCTTTTGTAAAGCCTTTAGTTTTAGTGCAGCAAACCACAACGCAGCTGTACAGCTTTCAGCTGTTTTAGTGCATTTAGATATACAATAGCATTTTGAAAGAGTAAATAAATGCTTAATGCTGTAATAAGCAAGCAAACATGCAGCATAAACATGAAACATTATAATGCACCGTAGAATCGTTATATATCTTTGAGCTGTTTTTAGAGCCCTTTATTGTGTATTAGCACTTTCAAGTGATGCGTAAAAGCCTAGTACTGCTGAACAGCATAAATGTAAATCACAGTTTTAAAGATGAACTGAGTTCTGTTGTACAGTTAACAGCTCTTTAATCAAATACACGTGAGTTATTGTAATGCGTAAAGTTGTAGATAGATTCATTTTACTGTATTTGACCATTTGTCGGCCATATTGTGGGGAAAAGCAACATATTATGCACACGGTTTGTTGATCATATATTTTCTTCAGCGTTGCACTATTTCAGTCTACATCAAGTCTACTAGTGAAACCATATAGAACTACTTTATAGACAATGGCACTGCAGTGGTGCATCAACTCTAGCCTTTGGCTAAATAATTGTTCACGTGTGAGTATTTATACTGCTGACGGCGTTAATTGGCCTTTTTAAAGCCTCATCGGGCCGCTATAAACCGATACCAATTTGTAAATGCCACAAAATGTTTCGGACCTGGATTTTTATAAAAGCAATAGACCTATATAATAATGTCATAACTTAATACTACTCAACCAATATCATTAGGTTAATTATATTATATGTTCTATACTAGAAATACACAATTGTTTTGGTTATTCCACACATATCTTTATATAAAATTTTATATGAAAACTATAGAATATCGAAGGCGCATGAAAACTTTCAATGAGCTATATTATGATTGTACCACGAATGGGTCGGCTCGACCGCGGAAGGACCACCCTCTCACAGAATACCAGCGTAAAATAGCAGCTTAATACTGCTGTGTTTCGTATGGTGAGTGTAGAGATCCGGAGACCCTTTTTTACTGGAAACGAGGCATTTCATCTTAATCATCAGAGATGACAACGCATCTGCGTTTTGATTCTTAATCGAGGATAAATGTAGATGTCTATGGGCTACAGCATTCACTAACCGTCAGGTGGACTGTGTAATCGTTTGTCATCCTTATTCTGTAAAAAAGTGTAAACTACATTGCGCAGTAATATTTGAAGGCATGAAATAGCAAAAAAGCTTTATAAACTTTGTTTTGATACAAACAAAAATGGTCGTGTCACTTAGTTTTGTCTGTATTACTTCGTCCTTATTTTATATTGCAAGACAAAATTAAGTACTTACTAGTTAAATTGCAACGTTACCTAATTGTATTACAACACTTAGTACAGCGTAATAGAGATGTTTTTGTAATGATAAACTTTACGGTTTATTTAAATTCTGACTGTGAACACTACATTCTAATGCTTTTTTAATGCAATTAACATCTTCGTAAGTCAATGTTATTTCTATTATAATGCTTCTGTAATGCGATTGGCAACTTCATTGATCGTAATAATGCTTCTTTAATGCGATTGGCAACTTCATTAACCAGGTTCAGGTTTCCTCACGATGTTTTCCATCCCCGCCGAGCACGTGGTAAATCAGCACTTATAATTGCAATTAACAATTTCATTGTGGTGCTGGCGGGGATCGAACCCGGGTTACTCGCGTTCTGTTATATTTACAGCGAGCGTTAACCATCTGAGCTACCAGGCTCCTAAAAGAGTAGTTGACTGTGAATGAATACCGAATCACACCAGCAAACATTTTAACCTTATTTTTTATAATTTCAGCATTCCTGTGTTACGTTGTATTACTAGTGAGAAGTGCGATAGTAGAAATTAAAGAAGAGACTTCCGAGAGCAAAAACGGCCACATCACTTTATATTCTGTCACGAAATTGCCAAACGAAAACAAGACTGTACATGACGTAGAAACTCCACCGGAAGCGGATTCGGAAGCAAAAGAACCACAACCTACAGAACCAAAATCCGACGAAAAGGTCACAAAGTTAGAAACAGTCAATGAGAATCCTAAGGAAGAATAATTAATAATAAATACAGTCTGTGAGACAAAGAATATCAATCCATCGTTTCAATCAGGAATTTTTGCTATTAAAAATATATAATATGTTGTGGACCAATTGATTAATCAAGGCACTATTTATAATGCCCAGGCGAAATAATGACAAGTCAAATCGGGCTAAGTAACTAATACTGATTTAAACTTGATTATTTATCACAATGTATGGTCATTATGAATATTACTAAGTACGTAACTGTTCAGAAATTTTATATAACCTAACCTAACCTAACCATGTTAATCACTTTTAAGACAATAATTTAATAATGTACCAAATCTGAAATTGATATGTGTAAAAATGTAAAGGAACAGAAAAAACACTTTGCAAAGAAAAAATACTTTAAATATTAAGAAAACTTTATTCCCATTGTGGTTAAGTGTTACATATTATGTGCCATCAAAAAAAACCCTAGCCTAATCTATCTTTTTATTGCTCTGCCTAGTAAGTAACAGACTTTATTCTTAAGGCCCGGTCAATTTTATTAATTCAAGTTTTTATCGCATTGCCTACGCATATTGCCCGGGCATTATGAATAATGTCTTATTAATCACGTGGCCCATAACATGTGCCCCATACATTAACAAAGAATATTTTTATACATACGAAGATAAACTGAAAATTGTTGACAAATGCTAATCGAATATGTACGACACATCTCTACTTTTAACAGAAACTCTATAAAATTTAATTAACGTGTTTTATTTTTATGTACTTATTTAATTCCCATTTGTCAGATAATAAAGACAGCATTATCGGTCATTTCATCACTATCATAATCGTATCCTTAATCCTAATTATCCACATGCGGTAATCCATTCTATTCCATTGAACATAGGCTTCCCCGTAGGATTTCTCACGAGGGGGGGGGGGGACACTTGCAATGATGCAATGGGTGTGCCCTACTTGGTAGGCGTTTCTAGTTATTATTGCGAAACTCTGCATCGTTTGTAACCCTTGACCCTAGACCTTGTTAGGGGGATTGAATATCACAGTTTTATAATAATAATTTAATATGATAAGGTTCTTGCCACTTCTACCCAGGACAGATACATAATATTATCCAGCCTATTGATAAATTATTTAAAGTTGACTTCCAGTTAGTTTGAAATATTGTTAGGGTAATACTAAATAAAAAAGAAAATATTCTTTTTTTACGTTGCCCCCCACCATAATCATCAGCTATCTGTCTTCTATAAACTTCGATATAAAAGACTACTGGCTAACAGCACAAACACCACCGAAAAACGACGACTAAAAATCTAGGATTCCGTTCTTTTCATACTAAAAATCATTAGAAGTCTTTAAGAAACCCGAAGTTTTCTAAAAAGAGTAAAATTAAAATATTATACTTATGTCACTTGCACAGCAAGACGTTTCCAAGAACACCCTGTATGTTAAAATCTATGAACACGTTAAGGCGTCGTCCTCATTGGTTATCGATTGTACGAGTAAACGATGCGATTTCATCGCACCATGAAAAACATCGCGCGATCTTTCAACAGGTTTCCTAATAGCTCGCGCTATGCCGTCGCGCTTTCACTCCAACGGCGTCATTTCAACAATGACTGTACGGGGATGCAAATTTTTTACTCTTAGGTCTCTAACTCGACTCACCGGTGAACCTGCGTTGCTGCGCTCACGCGCTCACTCGTTATCAATTAGGACACTCAAACGAGATTTTTCGTTTTCATTGCACGATCGTTCATTCAATCAAACCCACGAGGAAGATTACTTAAAGAAATGTGTGTTTAATCTCGTCGCGCGACGAAATCGCATCGTATACTCGTACGATCGTTGCCAATTAGGAATACGCCATAGGCTACAGAGTGCCAAAAAAATTGAGTACATGCATGCATATATACTCTCGGAAAACATTACACTTCCTCTGGTACAGTCGAGCAAAACCCGGTCTCTTACGAAGGTAAATAAAACAAAACGTAGATTTAGTAATTTATTTACCTTACAACAATCATTTTTGACCAACATTCATTCGGTAACACAAAAATAAACAAAAAATAATGTTAATTAACAGCATTTGCAGCAATTTTCCTTATAGACTAATCTGTTTAGAAGAGCATTAATGAAAAAAAAAACTTCAACATTTTTCATATGAAAAATAAGTATTTATAAAAAAGTAGATATTTTAAATCTTTAAGAAAATAGTTCAATTTAATCGAATAATTGGGAACTTTTTATCACATTTATTTGTCAAGTTTCAATTTACCGAAGCTGCCAGATAAACCTCGTCCTGAAACAAACAATACACAGTTAATAACTTTTATGAAATCATATGAAGATTTTGATTTTAATAAGACCTATAAGAGGGAGGCAAGCGCTCCGCAATAAGAATCAAAAACATCCGTAAAATTAGTTTTATTCCATGTGTACATTCGTGTAAAAAAATTAAGAATTTCAAAATCCTTTACTTTCATAGTAGACAAACATTGGCTTATGTTAAAAATTAATGCTACTGTTATATACATAACAGAATACAATTATTTTTTACACTATATGTGATTACTAATTATTGCAAGTCTTATTTACTAATTAGACATAACCTGGTGTTTTCTAATTAATTGAAACACAACTAAGTCATATTATAGTTATTGCAAAGCACGAACGCGCGTCGACGATAACAGAGGGGTGTTATGTTTGTAATGTGCATCAGTGTGTTCGACACACTAATACTGCCTCGTTGGTCTAGTGGTTGTAGTAGTGCGACTGCTGATCATGATTTTTTTCTGTCAAGAAATTCTCAGTAGCTGCCCGGAGTCAGGAAGTTGGCGGTGTCTCACACCCGTGCCTCGGAAAGCACGTAAAGCCGTTGGTCCTGCGCCTGATCTCTCTCCGGTCGTGTCGGCTTACCGTCTTATCGGATCATGAGAGTGAGGGAATAGAGAGTGCACCTGTGCTTGCGCATACACTTGGGCACTATAATACTGTCCTGCGCCGTTAGCTAGCCTCCGGCTAGTGGCCGAAATTCGATCTGGAGGACATTATTATTACACACTACAAAAATTTTGATTTGTTTTCTTTTCGTTTGAAATGTGTTTTAATCGAGTGTTCTTAGCTTTGTTTCAAGAAAATCTGTTCAGCCTGTTTCGCAGGTCATCAGCTCCTTTTGCTTCAGGGTTTTAAACATTTTTAAGTTGTGGGTAGACGTGTCCGTGGCACGTTATGGCACTCACTATGCGTGTCTGATGGTTGCGAGCGAGCGAACGCAACGAACGTAAGGCTGGCCGCAAAATGTAAAAAAAATCTGACAGAAAAATTCAAACGCGCGCTAGACGGCACTCTGGCTACATTTGTACGAGACCCCCGCAGACGATAAGATTTTGCTGAACAGATTGTAACGTACGCCGGATGCATGCTAACTTCATGTCTGAAATTTATCTTGGTAGAATGTGGAAAGGTAAGCAAGTACATTTTGTACTAAAATTCGCACACGTTTTATACGTAGTAGGCCACGCTGCAGCTATATTATGGTTGTAGCACGAATGGGTCGGCTCGACCGGGGAGGGACCACGCTCTCACAGAATACCAGCGTTAAATAGTAACTCCATGCTGCTGTGTTTCATATAGTGAGTGTAGAGATCCGAAGACCCTTTTTACTAGAAACGAGGCACTCCAACATAGTCCTAAGGGGTGAAAGCACAACTGCGTTTTGATTCTTAATCAACGAAAAATGTAGATGTGTATGGGCCACAGAATCCACTTACCATCAAGGTAGACTGTGTGTGTGTGTGTGTGTGTGCGCGCGCGCGCGCGTGTGTGTGTGTGTGTGTGTGTGTGTGTGTGTGCTGGTCACACTTCTATAAAAAAAAACAATCAGAAATTCCGGAGAGCGTACGCCCGTATGAGGCGCACTTATTGGGAGGTGATACTGCCGAAATAAATGTACATGCCAGTGAAATATTGGTGATAAATAGGATTGCCGGAATGAAATGTCTAATAATGGGGTGTGAAAAGGTCCTCTGCATGTTGAAAATTTCATATTTGCTGTCAAATTCCATGCTTTACATTTTTGTTCGCATATTTTCCAAGATACTTCTTATTTGATGCACACTCTAGTTTAAACCTGAGACTAATTATGAACTACTACTTTATGCGGTTTGTGATTTTTAAAGTGAACACTTTTTTAGAGTCATTGTGATTTCAAACTCGATGAAACGAAAAAGCAACACTAAAAAGAGACAAACATATACATTTACAGGATTTAGCTTGCAAGAGAATGAGATAGAATACAGTATACAGTGTTTAGTATTTTGTCACAGTCTATTTTCCTGAAGGTTTCACTTCAACCGCGTGTGAACTGTACACATGTTTTTAAGTAGTTTCCAGAAATGTATGTTGGACTATTTATTATAAAATCGTTTTAGGAACGGCTTCGTACGGGCACGTTTTTCCAGGGGTTATTATCAAACCATATTACTGATCATGCCAATAAGTTAGTCTGTTGAGGGTCATGAATGGCTTTATTTTGACGTTTGGTTTCGTTTGATTGTATAAATGTATCAGTATCGATTATAAACAGATATGTTATTTTAGGTTACAAAACGTTACCATACTGAAAAAATATAACGGAGCTGCAGAGTGATTCCTACCAGAGTTACACAATCATACTGTATATTTAAATGGCGATCTATCACTTTATTGCAGAAATGCTAGGTATATTTGGGGAATTGGGAAGCTAGCAGCATAACCATTTCAAACAACTCGAGACCACCGCCACAGTTATTTGAACCGAACGATGATTTTTGATAGAAATTTTGCTCACTGACAAGTTCTAATATTTCTTTGGCATTTTGCTCACTCAAATTTTGTTACACCCACGCTTTGGGATGGCTTGGTGAATTCTCATATGACAGCCATCACAAAACATCAAAAATTTAAATATTTTGAAGGCTCTATCCACAAACACCAAAAGTTATAGATTAATTGAGTAATGAATAGTGAAATTGAAAACTAATGACAATAAAAAATAAGGTTTTGGCTTACGGGTTATTAAATTTTACTTCCAATTCTGTACCTGCGCGCACTAGACATTTCTCCTGTATCGTGGAAAATTTTAAATGCATAACTTGCATTTGGAATAACATACAGATAAGGAACGACTATTAGTATCGCCTACAACTATACCTATACTGTACTGTACTGCATGGTACTATGTGAAATCCAAAAATGCAGCCCTGAAGCCAGAACAGAATTATTATGATAATTATTAATTAAATTAAAATGTGAAATAACTATATATTATATATAACAAAGTATATTACCTCTTCCGTGTCCAGCAGTCAGCTTCGGGAAATTGGATTCTGTTAAGTCAGGAGCCAGGCGAGCTTTCTGGGTGTCTGTAAATTATTTAACCAATTCAATTTATATCTTATTTGGTACTAACCAACCGACTTGGCTTTGTTCCGTCGCCTACTCACAAAAGCAGTAAATGCCAGTTAAGATTTTTTTCAATATTATTAGCAACACATGAATAGTGACTGTTGAATGTGTGTAATGGCAGTGTAAGTACATAATATACTATCCCATTTCGTACCGTAGGTGTCGACACAGGTGGCAGAGGGAAACTAATCAGGAAATGGACAGCAGCGATAAAAAATAAAAACCAGCGATACCATCCATACCATCTGGATGACTAGCGGTCCACCGCAGTGCAATTTAAATGAAGTTTTATTCCTCACACAACTTCCTTGTGGAACCGACTACCACCGGAGATTTTTCCGGACAGATACGACTTAGGTACATTCAAGAAAAGAGCCTATTTCTTTTTAAAAGTCTACCACCTGCCATCATGTTAGCCATGTGCTCGTTTGCCCACTCTCCTATAAAAAAGAGTTGCCAACCCACATTGCAAATGTACCAACTCTAGCAAATATATTAGACAATCTATTGGAAAGGCCTATGTTTAGCAGTGGACTTTTATTGGCTGTAATGGAACACTTTTATTAGTTTGGTTTCGAATTAATTAATTATAAAATTCACACAGATAAGTACACAACTCAACTGTAGTTCAATTCACAACTACCCACCATATTTCATATATGGAAGAGCAATTCTGCAGCTATATTATTGTTGTAGCACGATGGGGTCGGCTCTACCGCGGTAGGACCATGATCTCACAGAATACCAACGTAAAATGCAGTTTAAGGACCGATTCTCATTATAATGCCGTTCACTGTTCGTTCTCGGTTCGAACTAGGTCTGATAAAATATTATCAAGTAAAAATTTTTGTGTGCATTCATACTCTCCGGTAACAGTCAAGTTTCGGTCGAATCCCATTCCATTATAATAAATCAGACCGATATCGGACCGAGAACGAACTGTGAACGGCAAATGAGAATCGGCCCTAATGCTACTGTGTTTTGTAAAGTGAGTTTAGAGAACCGGAGACCCTTTTACTGGCATTGTACCTTAGTCCTCAAGTATAAAATAAAAAGTATATCTATGGGCCACATCCACATCACAGCCGCATCCACTTACCATCAAGTGGACTGTGTCACCTGTCGACCTTATTCTATAAAATTAAAATATACTCACATGATCTTATTGTGTGAAAATGAGTTTATAGAAGAGTCGCTATAGTCAACCAAATCTAAGAAATACATTTTGACGTTTCACATTAATCATTTCGCAATAACTTTGCACAAGCGTACTCACACGATTTAAAATAACCTTTTACGTAAATCCGCAGAATTATGCAGTTATCTATATTTCATTATAACGTGTATAGTTTTTATCACTTATTTAAATTTTTTACTTGACGTCGTTTCAATGATATGTCGCTATGTACATTACCGTAGTGTTTGGATGATTAAACTTTATTGTTATGCGAATAATCGGAAAAATATTCAAATAATCGGTAGAAATATTCTAATAATCGAATCATTAATTTCTTTAATGTATTATTTGTTTAATTTAATTTTTGTTTTCAAAATTCCTTAACTTACATAAATCATGAATAAAACAAGTTTATTTTTTTCACTTTGTCAAAGTAAATTTATGTAGGAAAAAACTCATATACAAGGTCGTGCCACACTACATAATTTCTATATCCCGCCATTTCAGTACCAGTTACTCGACTCCACAGAATCAGTAATTAATTTTTGAGACGATGTATACGCTTTTATAACAAAATGCCAGAAAATATACAAAATTTGACGTAAATACACAAAGTTCAAAAATTTTATTAAAATAAGTTTGTATAAAAAGGGTTATTAGAATTTACGGATGACAATAATCTCTGGGAAGGGTGATCGCTACCAAGCTATTTCTAATTTGTTTTGTGTTGTTAATTGTAACACGCATTAAGTAAGCTCTTATTTTTTTTAAACTAGTCGTGTTGGGTTTCTTGCTGGTTCTTCTCAGGACAGAGGTTTTTTTGCGAACCAGTGGTAAATGAAAAAAGTGACTTTCAATAAGTATTATTCATAATCTATATTGAATAAAAAAGTTTCTGTTTCTGTTTCGAGAGCTTACTGTGCGTAATTTTGTGTTTGTATTCTTATTTTGTGACTCGGCTTTAACTTTTTGGACTGTTTCTTCTATAATAAATTTTTGTACGTGGTAGAGCCACGCTACATCTATATTATAGTTGTAGCACGAATGGGTCGGCTCAACCAGGGCAGGACCACGCTCTCACACAATACCAGTGTCAAATAGCAGCTTAATGGTGTTGTGTTTCGTATGGTGAGTGTAGAGAACCGGAGACCCTTTTTACTGGAAACGAGGTTCCATTGTTAGGTGACGTTGCACCTATCGAGGATAGATGTAGATGTCTATGGGCCACAGCAACCACTTACCATCAGGTGGACTGTGTGCTCGTTTGTCACCCTACCCTATAATTTTTTTTAAAGCAAGGCTTTAGGAATGAAGTTGTAAAAAGCGGAGACACGCGGGCAATACGTTTACAAGTTCAGTTCACATTTCAATGTTTATTTACTCTGTGTGTTTAGCTTAAGTGATGTAATGTTGCGAGTTGAAAATTTATGCTTTTTTAAAGATTTTTAGAGAAAATTGAGGATAATAGTGTTCCGTGTGATGAAGTGTGTTAAAGTGCTGATCGGAGAGGAAAAGGTAAAATCTTTAAACTTTGTGGAGATAATACACAAGGTCAAGAGTGTTTTTCAGACTTATCAATTATCGCAATTAAAAACAGTTATTGGTACAATTAAAACGTTCACCAACATTTTACGTGGACGTAATTTAATCTTTCCTTAAGAAAGAGAGACGAAAATGGATATTTAGAATGTAAATATTTTTTTTTGTACATAGTTTATTTGTACTTTATTCATGTATTACTTTTGTTCATGTATTGTATTGTATGTATTGTATTGTATATAAATATCTTTTTCTTTCGCTCAAACGAACACAAACGACTTTCTTCAAAGCCACCAAAGCTATGCAATTGCTGATATGTAATACAATCTATCTAACAGTAGTGTGTGCTTTGTTAAACACGTCCTCGACAGCACTGAATATAAAACTGAAGATTGGAGACAAATCAATATTGGTGTATTTTTAAAAAAAAAACTGCTAAAAACAACAATCTATATTTTTATAAATTTATGTCTTGGGCTTGCCCTTGTTTGGAGCTCTAGCTTCGCCGCTGCTCGTTTGTCACCCAATGCTATAAAAAAAATCTTTGAAGCATGTGCCCATGTCATAAAGGATGATTGGGCAAAAGTGGTAGGAAAAAGAAAAAAATATTATGGATGACTTTTTGACTACATTATCGAAAATCAAATAATAATTAATATAAACAACGACATCCCTACTAGTTGTACTGAAAGTGATTGAATAAATTTATTTTTAATCTAGTTTCAATCTTAAATTTTTATAACTGTGCCTCTAGAAATAAGCAGTAACAACAAATACGAAGAAACTGATAAATCTTGTGTTATAAATTATCCGTTTTTAATTTATTCTAGTATTATTTAAACCAAACTGTAAATGATTACCAACTATAAATAATCGATACCGATTTTTTTAAGAATCGAATATTGTGTTTCCATTTTTTGGTTGGCATGCTTGGTGCAATAACTGTGACAGCTGTCAAAATGTATTTCTTAGATTTGGTTGACTATAATACGACATAACCTATTTAGATATAGAATGATATTTGTACTTACAATCTGTTTTTGGCATCCGCAAAGGCTCATGCACTCTCCTCTCCTTTTTGACAACTAAAATATTAACGATATACTTCATTGTTCACCAAGAATAAGATTATACAAAATTAAATTATATATATATATATATATATATATATATATATATATATATATATTGTTTTTTACTTATGAATGTTGTATTAATAAACATAGCTTTAAGCTAAAAATAAAAAGAGCCATGGTAGCTTAGGGGCTTAGCGCTCGCTGTAATATTCATAGTATGCGAGGAATCCGAGTTCAATCCCCGCCGGCACCAATGAATTTGTTAATTGCAATTTTAAGTGCTAATTTACTACATCCTCGGCGATGAAGGAAACCTGCATGTCTAAGAAATAAGAATTAAAATATTTCAAAGATGTGAAGTTCACCAACTTTTGGAGCAGCGCGGTGAACATTTCTTTGCCCTAAAACCCTCTTAGAAGTGAGAGGAGGCCTCCTCTCCAGCAGTGGGACTCATTATAGGCTATAATGTTAACTTTACACTAATAAAAAGCTTAGACGGCAGATATTATATAGAATGCAAAACTAACTGAAGTAAAAAATACAATAAAAATAATTTTATATATCTATTGTTAAAAAATTAAATTACACTAATATTCAAAAATAAATCAAAGATTGTTAAAAACGCACCATTTGATTCAGCAAGACTAGATTCATGGAAGGATTCATTAATCACTGAGCTGTTGGAAGACGATACACCCTGGGGAAATATAAATATTTTTATTGTAACTGGTATGTTACACAGACTCGACTATAGTATGTGCCAAATCGATTGAGAAAAACGAACAATGACCTTTCGGTCGTTTAACCAGGGGTTACAAACCTTCAATATATAGGCATATTTTAAATGTAGTACTTTGTTATATTTTTATAATGATTTTCTAATTATTTTTTATAATTATTGATATAATATATATTTATTAACTATTATTAAAAAGTTATGTAAAAGATCGCTGTAGAAAAAATCATCTATTGTTATGAATTACTTTATTCATTTAACAACAAAAAGCATGGTTGCGCGGAAAACCATTCGTATTTATTTTATTTGACGGTAGGCTGCCAAATCGGTTATCCCTTTCCAAAAACGATATTTTTCATACCCTCCTATCGACACATCGGGGTGGTGGGGTGGGAGGGGAAAGAAGATGATTCTAGAACATCACGTAATCATCGGAACCGAGGATATAAAGGGCACGCGCGACCGACGCGCGCTCTCTTCCCGCCGCGCTCGTCATTTGAACCACATCACTAGTAGAAACCGCTTTAGCCTGGAAGCAATCGAGCTCCAAGGAACCCGCCTCACCTCGTGTGATATAGTCGCGCACCGCCTCTCTCCGGAGTGTTCCAGAAGAAGTTCCAGAAGTCGCAGTTATAGTGCTCGACCGCATAGAAGAAACATCCCGATGAGTCAATATCCAATATTATTGCCTGCTTGATATAATCGTTTAACCCGCTCCAATTTTGTGTTTTCCTAATCAAGCAGGATTCCTTTCATCGATTTGGCAAATAATAGTTCGTTTTTTTTTTTGGGAAGAGCGAGTGCATTGTACCGCATATATAAGTGTAGAAGCATTAGTAGATACAGTCCACTTAGATTAATATCTCGCGTAATAGGTTTAAGGTTCGACCGGGGAACTAAACTTCGGCAGCCTTAAACACGTGGCTCCACCAAAGCATTTATAACACATATAAAGATTCGAGTGATAACGATACCTAATATTCAAAAGATAAAACTTTATTTTCAATATTATATAAGAACCGGACCGGCCCAAAAAAAGGTGACGCATCTCTGGCTGCCATTGTTAAGTTTCTTTTAGAACGAACTGACGTTGACGCGCGTTTTGTTTATTTTAAAGAGATGAATTGGCAAAAGCTCAATATGGTGATTATATTGCTTCAAATATTTTTTAATACGAAACTGTTATAAATGAATTGCTGCGTTACTTACCATAAATTGAAATATAAAATATAACACATTTTTCGCGATGTACCGTAAGATTTTACGATGTTTATAGGAAACCACAGACAATATTATTTAAGAAACAAAAAAACAAAACATATGTGCTGACCTAGAAGTGTGAATTATATCAATATTTAAAAATTGTTATCACATCTAAATTGAGATTTTGTAAGTTACGCCTTTTGAGACTCGGCTCATATCTGATCTGGTCATTGTCCGTTTTTCTCAATCGATTTGGCAGATATTATAGTATGGTCGTGGTTGTAGATTTTTAGTAGACAAATAAAACGAACTTATTAGCATACAGGTATAAGTTATGTTGTTTATGTTATGTTGTAAAACGATATTTAACATTTAATTTTTTTAATTATTACTAGCGTTCCCCGCGACTTCACCGGCGTGTAATTTAAGGTTTTGATCTTTATCGCGCGGGAACCATAATTATTTTTCTACAATAAAAGTAGCCTAAGTTACTATTTATATCATCGGCTATCTGCCAGTGAAATTCCCATCAAAACCGGTCAAGCCATTTCCGAGATAAGCCAGAACAAACAGACTGACTGACAAAAAATTTTAAAATTGTATTTTTGTTATAAGTACCGTATATACTTTTATATGCATTTAGGAAATAAGCTATTATTTTGATATAACAAACAAACACTTCAATTATATGATGTATTTGTATAGATAAAAATAATGTATATTTTTATCTAGAAATAATATTATTATATTGTAATAGAAAAACACATGTTAGCGATCATTCAGGAGCTACACCATGCGCCCGGCGGTGGATGAAAACATCGTGATAAACTTTAAATGAAACTAAGTTTTACAAAGTTTATTGTGTATATTAACTTATTTTTAATTCCCGACGTTTCGAAGCTCATTCTGGGCGTAGTTCGGACCAGAAAAAAGAAATTTTAAACTGAAGGCAGCCATGGTTAACTATAACATCGGGACGTCGAACACTTTGAACCCCCGATACCATGGGTGCTTTAAAGTAATTGAAACGTCGGGAATTTAAAATAAGTTAATATATGAGATAAAATCCGTAAAACTAGTTTAATTCAAATGTGTAATGTTCGTGTAAGCGTTAGAAATAATTATCGTATAACTTTGTGCGTGGTAAATTATGCATCTAGGTGTACTACCTTTTGGATGACATTTTTTTAGTTTTTCCTTTACGTGGTAGTGCCATACTACAGCCATATTATTACTGGTATAGTTGTAGCACGAATGAAAGGAGCACGCTCTCACGGTTAATACCACCTTAAAATAGCAGCTTAATGCTTCTGTCTTTCGTATGGTAAGTGTAGAGAACCGGAGACCCTTTTTACTGGAAACGAGGCATTCCATCTTAGTCCTCACGGGTGACAACGCATCTGTATTTTGATTCGTAATCGAGGATAGATGTAGATGTCTATGGGTCACAGCAACCACTTAACATCAGGTGGACAGTGTGCTCGTTCGTCATCTTTATCCTATAAAAAGCCTTAATGTTAGGTTAATGATGGAAAAAGGAGTAGGTAAATTACCTCAGCCGCAAACTCACAAAGTGTACGTACGGTCCGAACCTAACGCGCTGCGAATAACTGATAATGTAACTATTTTTAAATTAAACTTATTGTGCAATAAACTGTTAATGCAACAACACGGTTTATTTTTATAGAATAAGAGTGAATAGCGAGCACACAATTCACCTGATAGTAAGTGAATGCTGTGACTCTACTTTACTGCATAGACATCTACATTTATCCTTGATTAAGTATCCAAATGCAAATGCGTCGCCACCCCTGAGGACTGAGATGGATTGTATCATTTTCAGTTGAAAGTGTCTCCGGCTTTCCACACTCAACGTACGAAATATAGCAGCGTTAAGCTGCTATTTTGGGCTTGTATTCTGTGAGGTTGTGGTCCTTCCCCGGTCCAGCCAACCCATTCGTGCTACAGTCCTAATATAGTACGAGTATAGTAGAAGCTTGGCTCTACCATTAATGTCTAATACTTTCAATGATAAAAGGTGAAAACGTGCACCCAGTCTACCTGATGATGTTTACTGTGGCCCAGAGACATCTACATATATCCTCGATTACGAATCAAAATGCAGATGCATTGTCACGCCCGAAAACTAAGACGGAACGCCTCGTTTCTAGTAAATAGCATCTCCGGTTCTCTACACTCACCATACGAAACACAGTAGCACAGTGCTATTTTACGCTGGTATTCTGTGAGATTGTCGTCTTACCCCCGTCGAGCCAACCAATCCGTGCTTACAACCATAATAACATAGCTGCAGCATAGTTCTACCATGTGAAAGTAAGAACTACATACCTACAAACTAACTTAACTGTAAAAAAGCTGTACGAGTCCTTAACTGTGGCCTGTACATAAAGAACAAACATGCAATACCTGACATCATTTTTGTATTATTTTTAGTGATAGGTTGTTATAACTTTTTTACACAAATAAATATAATTATTTACCGGCAGACCAGCAATTGAAGCTGCAAGTCTTCCTTTCTTCTGCTCCTTGATGGACAGTATACCCTGGAATATTGAAAAGAACATAACTATATTTCCATTATAATACAAGCTTTCCATTTAAACGTTAGAGCATGTGAATCTGAAAATATTTTTAATCTTCTATTTTTTTTAATAGAATAAGTGTGACTAAGGAGCACACCGTCCACCTGATGAAAAGTGGACATTGTGGCCCATAAACATTTACATCTATCCTCGATTAAGAGTCTAAATTCCGACGCCTTGCCACCCCTAAAGACTAAAATTAAATGCCTCGTTTCCAGTCTTTAAAATATTCTAGGGGTTTGGTGGTTTTTTCCACATTTAAATAGTTGAGACGACCCCATTGACACCTGCAACCAATGAGGGTCAATATTTTACCGCTCACCAGATGTCGCTAGTTGGAATTGAGGTGAAATTATTTGACACACAGTGTCAAATAAACATTGATTTATATATTATACTAGATCAGTAATAACCGCGCCAAAGCGTTGCCACTGTGCACATACTGCACTGTGGCCATATGTGTACAGCCATATGCCTAGCTAATGTCAGTTCAGTGTTCAATGTGACGTTGACAGAGTTGAGCCGAGACAAAAAATGGGTAAATGCGTAGTGAAAGAATGCTATTCTAGGTCACAAAAACGTAATAAATCAAGCGGAATCACTATCAACACATAATTTTTAGTTCTTGTTTTGATATAAACGTAAAAAAACCTCAAATAATTAAATAAAATTATCGAATATTGTCATTTAGGTTCAATGTTGCCACTTTTCCGCATTTGTGATTATCCTACATTAATGGGAGACTATATAATTAATGGAGTAAGTTAATTTGTTACCTCTGATTTTAAATATTTTGGAAATTATAATAAAAACTATGTTTTAACTTTCATACAAAATAATTAATTATTCTTATTTTAGTTTATTCATAAATTATCTATTAAATATATTTTATTACCTATTTTATATTAATTATAATTTCATATAAATTTTGAATAAAACTAAATTTTACGGATTTTATCGCGTTTATTTTACTTTATTTTTAATTCCCGACGTTTCGGGTGCTTTACAGCAACCATGGTCACGGGGGGGGACTGAGATGTTTGACGTCCCAATGTCATAGTTAGTCCGGCTACCTTCAGTTTTTGAATATTAATTTTTGGTCCGATTTACGCAGAACGAGCTTATAGTATCATGAAGTCTTGCAGTGGTATGCTTAGGTTTGGGTTTAATTTTGTTAATTATAGGATCCCAAGCAGGTGGCAGCACCCATCCATCTTCTCTATTGAAATTTGGTAGGAATCGATGTTCTTTTGCGAGAATTTGTGGTTTATCAAAACGAATGTAATGGTGGTGACGATCTTGAACATGTTCGTAGACTGCCGACTTCCCGGAGCGTCGGTGCTCCACGTCAGCTATATGTTCTTTCACGCGGGTTTTTATGGATATTTTTGTTTGACCTATGTAAGAGAGACCACATTCACAATCTAACTTGTACACTCCTGCATCTTGTAGAGGGATATTACACTTGACGGATGGTAAAAATTGACTAATCTTCTTCGGCGGCTTGTAGTATGTTTTAATAGAAGCTCGCTTCAAGATGTAGCCAACCTTGTCTGTGACTCCTCTGACATATGGTAGCACAGCAGGTACACGCTCGACTGTGGCCGGCTTCACTCGGTCAGTGTGACGTAGGCGCGGGACCCGAAGCTTGTTGTCTTGCAATACTTGCTTGACATGCTGAAGTTCGGCGGCCAGATGTTTCTACTTCTATCTACTTCGATCGCATCTTGCAGCGCCTACTTATATAAATTAGCAAAATATCCAGAATGTTCAAGTAAACACGCGCAAGGTACCGAGAATTCGAGTTTTAAACTTCAAGAAGTTTAGTTCTTCGGTTCGAGACTAGATGGCGCTAGTGCGCCGATTTGAGGCATTGGAGCGCGTAACACTGCCCCCTCCTAAGACATGCTCGTCCCGAGCATTATCGATCCCATAATAACGCGCTAGGCGATCCACATGGACGATCTTAGGAGTCCCTCTTGCGCCTTTCTGTATCCGGTAGGTTACATCGTTGATCCTGGTCACAATCCGGTACGGGCCGTCCCATTTAGCCTGAAGCTTAGGAGATTTCCCTTTGCTGCGGACTGGATTGTGCAACCACACAAGAGAACCTTCGTCGAACCCTTTGTTGTTCATTTTGCGGTCATACCGGGTTTTCATCTTTTCAGACATTTGCTGGCCCGATTGTCTGACGTGCTCATAAACGTCATTCATTTTGTTCCGCAAGTCATTTGCATAATCGGTTATACTGCGTGGAGCATCAGGTGGTATCCCGGTGATCAGGTCTGCAGGCAGCCGTAATTCTCTTCCAAAGTTTGCGAAAGCCGGTGTCACTGCTGTACTTTCGTGAACAGCGCTTCGATATGACAACAAAAACGGTTGTATGTGCTTGTCCCAATCTCGTTGCCGATTGTCTATAACTTTTGCTAGGTACCTCTCCAATGTCTGAATAAATCGTTCTACCATTCCATCAGATTGCGGGTGATAAGAAGTCGTTCTTGTTTTATGAGTACCCATAACTCGGCAAGTTTCCTGGAATATTTGAGACTCAAAATTCCTTCCTTGATTGCTGTGAATCTCTAAAGGTACACCAAAACGACAGAAGACTTCATGAACTAGCTTATCAGCAACTGTTGAAGCTTCTTGATTTGGAATGGCGAAGACTTCTGGCCACTTAGTGAAGTAATCCATCACAACCATGAAATACCTGTTACCGCTTTCACTCTCCGGAAACGGCCCCGCCACGTCAATGGCTATTCTCTCCCATGGTGCACCAACATTGTACAACTTCAATGCACCTCTACTACGAGTCTGAGGTCCCTTTACAGCCGCACAACTTGTACATTTGCGACACCAGTCCTCGACATCGTTTCGACAGTGGACCCAGTAAAACCGTTCTCGGATCTTCAGTAGAGTTCGTTTAACTCCCAGATGGCCTCCTGAATAATCATTATGGTACAGCTGTAGAACATCCGGTACTTTAGCTTTAGGGACAACCATTTGTAAATGACAGCTGTCTCCCCGAACATTTTCCCATTTACGGCACAGAACTCCATCCTGAAGCAGCAAGCTGTCCCACTGGGCCCAATAGCTTTTAGTGGTCGAACTCATCGCTGAGACGTCGCTCCACTTGGGCTTGGGAGCACTGGCCTTCATCCATTCCAGGATCGGCTTGATGTCCGGATCTTCCTGCTGTGCACGTTGTAAGCTGTCCTTCCACTCGTTGCTGAGGTGGTCTGCCCTGAGCATCCTCACGGATACCACTTCCTTACTCTCTTGCCTAGTACAATGTTTGCAATCTTCAGGACAAGGTCTTCTTGACAATGCATCTGCGTTGCCATGAGATTTCCCGTTGCGATGTTCGATCTCGAAGTCGTATTCCTGCAGTAGTTCAATTTCCCTTTCTAGGGTTTGCTTAGGGCAGCTGGATCGAAGATGGCCCTTTTCCCCACAGCCATAGCACCTTGGGCTGTATCCTTTGTTGCGGTCGCGAACTGTAGCTGCTGCAACCTCCCTGACGCGATGGGAACGATGATCCTGCCGCACGGCTTCCACTTCCAGTGCATGGGCCAAGGCGTCCTTAAGCGTCTCGTGGTGCCCGAGCCTCACAGCAGCTCTGACTTCCAGGTCGCGGATGCCGTCGATGAATGTCTGCACCAGGTTCCCTTCAATGAGCGCAGGTACAGACCGGTATGCTTTTCGCACCAGCTTCTCCACTTCTAGAGCCCACTGCTGCAGGTTTTCGTTGATGCGCTGCACACGATCTTTAAGCTGCGCACGAAAGACGTGTTCCAGGTGAGCGTCGCCATATCTCGCCTCCAATGCCTCAAGGAGTTGCTCATAAGTCACTTCCTCACCGAGAGCTTCCAGAACTGTTAAGGCCTGGTCGCGCAGGCCTAGTGTGAGAGCAGTCATGGCCTGACTTTTATACCAGCCGTTCGCCTTCATAACAGCCTCGAACTGGATTTTGTAGGCTGACCAGGAAGAAGTCCCGTCGAATGGTGGCACCTTGAACCCACGTAGCGAAGGTGTAGTAGCTACTACGGGAGCTGTAGTTCCCTCCCCAAGTTTGAGTTCGTCAAGTGATTTCCTCATGTCAGCCATTACGTTGTCAACCCGATTGTTCACTTGGTCAATTCGGGTTTCAGCTTCCGACAGGCGGTTTTCATGTTGAGCAACCTTATCCTTCACCTCCCTTATCTCTTTCCCGAAGGTAGCGTGAAGGTCCTTCATGAGAAGCATCTGTTCTTCCTGGCCGCCCCGCAGCTGCTCTTCCAACCGACGGACCTGTTCCTCCTGTCGGCGAGCCTGTTCCTCCTGTCGACGAGCCTGTTCCTCCTGTCGGTGAGCCTGTTCCTGTAGCATCGCCATCAGAGCACCTAAGTCAGGTGCTGCAGATGTAGGAGCTACTGACGGGCCCGCAGCCTCCGTGGCTGGCATTTGGCCCTCCGACGTCTGCGTCGTTGCACCACCAAATCTCCTCTGGTTCGTCTCCTGCTGGCGTTGACTCCGGGTACGGACACCCTCCATCTCGTCCTTAGGTAAAATCGGCATGATTTTATCCCACTTCTGACACCAATTGTTACGAGCTTGAGGTTCGTGACAATAAAAATTGCCGATAAAATTACCTAAATTAACACTTTTATTTACTTTACACAAATTAAAACTAAAAACACTAATAATTAAACACACTAATTCACTTAATTCCGCTCCGAAGCTTCGCTTGTGTCGCCGAGTTCCAGTCTACTTCGATCGCATCTTGCAGCGCCTACTTATATAAATTAGCAAAATATCCAGAATGTTCAAGTAAACACGCGCAAGGTACCGAGAATTCGAGTTTTAAACTTCAAGAAGTTTAGTTCTTCGGTTCGAGACTAGATGGCGCTAGTGCGCCGATTTGAGGCATTGGAGCGCGTAACATTATTCATATAAATTTTATATTAATTATATTTTATTCCCTATTTTATATTATTTGATTTATCAGCACAATAAAATACTTATAAAAATGTTTTATTTCATCATTATTTTTACGTCTATTTATCTGATAAGCTTTGTATCATTTTTTTCTAAGGGGACGCAATAAAGATTTTAAAATAAAGTATACTTTTTTTAATATAAAAACAATTAACTGTAGCTTAAAAAAACTCATTTTTATTGCGTATTTTAGGTACAATTTCATATAGTAAGCCACACCAACCCGCCATTGCATGTTTGTGTGTCTATCTTTATCTAATTTTAGCGAAGATATTGTTGTCGCAACTTGTGTAAGTGAGATAGATATATGTTTATTTAAAATTGTATTAGTTTCAAAGCTACGTCGTCGCGTTTGGATAGTGGTTACACTTTTTTCGACGCGCGGTAATGTGGTTTGCTCCTCTAGTGTTGTATAACTGAACATTTGCGTTTCAAATACATTTTTTTTGGGTTTCTAGTATTTGAATATACCTATATACAGAAAACAATCTTGGTGCGTTCACAATTCTTTTTTTACTTTTAGGATTATCCGGAGTTTGGTTCATCCATTTTAATGTTTTATATTAATTATAAAGTGTAACTAACATTTCAAAAAGACACATTAAACTTTATAATATTTCACCTCACTCCAAAGTAGCGCCGCCGTGGTGGCAGATAAGTTGTGGATGCCATTATTTCTTGCATTAATCTAGATAACTCTGTAATCGATTACCAACCCTCAGGAATCGATATTGATTTTTAAGAATCGAATACTGGCATCGACTTTTTTGGTCCATATGCCTAGTCCAATAAACCTGACAGCCGTCAAAAGTTTTTTTCATTTATTAATTACGAAGAACACTCTAACATACACACACAGATAATAACAAAATAATCGGACTACTTGACAGCTTAAAACACGCGGATGTGTGTGTGACCCGAACTTTTCAATATCACTACTATTACAATAACTTCTAAATGGGGTGTTAATAAATAAAAAAGATACATACATCCATATCATAGTCAAAGGGTAAATGCTTTCCAGGCACCACATCAATTCCGGCAATGGGGCAGCAACTGTCTAATATGGTGAAGGCCAAACGTTTCACTTTCGAGAGTGTGCATTCCACCGATTTATCCGCTTCTTCATGATGCTGAGAAAAAAATTAACTGTTATAATAATTTTATTATGGTAAGTTTCTAGAGACGTGATAGCGCAGGGCCAATGAGCGGGTCGTGATTTTCACAGTACATCAGCTGGCTGTTGCTCAGGTATGGTGCATTTGAGAATTCGATTTCCACTGGTACCAAATAGTTATATAAAAATAATATATTTGAGAAATTGTATTTGCATTTTTAAAGTGCTAGTTTTATATACATTAAGAAGAAATCTTCATATCTGTGAAAGTAAAACATTTAATGCCTTCCAACCTTCTTCGTTGCTCCAAAAACCATTCCAGAAAACCATATTTACCTTTGAGTAAAGAAAAAAGTTAAACCATATACTGACAATATTAAATTGTTGTTTACTTTTCTTCTATTTCCCTAATTAATATAGCTTGTTTTTAAGAAAAAAAATATATAGCTTCATCCGTTCTTCGTTTTAAAGAGTAAGATTGAATGTATTCAATGACAACCTATGTGTAGCTTTCTTTGTTTGAAGATAGCTGCAGGTGTCCATGAAGTGAAGTATTTGCTTACCATCGTTTTTTTTAATTATTCACTTACTTACAAGTCACTTCATGCTGTTTAACCATTAACCTGTTCATTAAAATAGTGACATCCAATTAGAAACTATGTACAGCTCAGAGATAAATCAACGCTCTATCCAGCAAAGTATAATAAAATACAAATTCCATTTGATTAACAAAAACTGTTTGATCTTCAGAGCTAAATGGATTTCGGTCTAGCTGAACCACAAACGAACTCAGTAACGAGTAAAGGGAATTCAAATATGGACGTAAACTCATTAACTTAAGTTTGGCAGAAAAAAGCGCTAGCAAGCGCTTGTAAGCAAAATGGCGATCGTAAGCGGTGAGCGCTGTTAAATCGTAAGTAGCTATTTTCCGCTAGGACACGAAGTTAGTTTTAACCGGGAAACTTAACCTAATTTAAATATATTATTTAGTAAAGTATTCATATTAAAAACTTACCAATCATGAATTTTTAATAACATGTATCTGTTTATTCATGTCATTACATTACTTAAAACTAATATTGCACAAAACAACTTATAAACTCCACTTCAAAACAAACAAATTAAATACCGTAAAACGGGGTGAATATACACAGTTTGGAACTTTGAAATTGACATTCATATTGTTTTCGATTGGTTTCTTTGTATTTAATGCAATTATATTATGAGTCAAGGTTGGTTTTAAACTTTATAATGTTCAAAAGCTATTTTTAATATATATTTTGAACGAAACACGCATAAATATTAGCAATCTCTATTTACCCAGGAGTCGGGGTCAATAGATACGATATATGGGGTTAATAGAAAAATTATGTAGGGCTGCCTCATTTTAAACAATTAAATTATTACAGTATGTTCAAAGTAATTATGCTATATGTAGGTACTAGTCGTTCACTTCAAGAATGCCGTTACCTCCCTCCGCGCCCCCTCATTCCTCGCCTCAATTGTCGCCCTTTTAGTACCGATAGCAACGTCGAAGTGTACTTACGTCCGTTTTTTATGCTCCCGTACGTTCTCTAGTTTGTTACTGTTTTTGCTGTTGTTTTTGTTACTGTTGATTTTTTGTTTCTGTTGATATTCGTTAATTTGTTCTGTTACAATGAGTAAAAGAGGAAAGGTCTTGCACAGTGGCGATTTGATATATTTAAAATGTAAAATAAAACTATAAAAAAATATTTTATTTTACCGAACACGTTATTATTTCATCATCATCATTATTCAAAAAATATTTTATTTCATCGAACACGTTATTATTTAACTTTATTGAAAATATGAATACTAAAAAACATAAACATGATGACTTTTTTCGTCTACGGTACCGTCAGCTGTGACGTCGTAACGGTCTACGACGGCAAACCCGAAATGAACGCGTAGTAGATTAATAGATTTTTGAAAGCGCTTAAATATACAATGTGTCCGGTTTCCGATGTCCGATACTTTAAGGGGTTAAAATACAATTAATTTTATCGACAAATCAGGGATCAATGATTTTTTTTCGCCATCAATAAAAAAATGGCAGCACTTTAAAAAAATTGTTGGCGAAGCATAGATGCTTGTATTAATTTAACAATATCTACCCAAGTAGAAGACTTTCAAAAACAAAATTGATCTCAAATGTTAGTTAATAGTGTAGACCATAAATCTAGATTCAAAATATTATTTTTTAATTTTTCAGTATTAGTAAAAAACATTTTTGAAAAAATAAATTAGACAACAAATTGATGTTGTTTTACAGATTCTTAGCTTTAAAAAAAAACCATCGTGTTAACTAATTTTTTTTTACTTGCTTTTATTATAATACAGGATATTTGCTATAAATGCACATTTAAATCTTAACTCTGAGTTAGATAGTTTAGGAGCTATGATAATTTGAATATAACTGTTCAAAGTGCCTCTACCCCGATATTAGATAACTAAACACCCATTCCAGTGAGTAAGATAAAATTCTTCAATAATTCAAGGAATCGTAAGCAAGAACAATAGCATCCTTTGTGTGAGCAGGTAAAAAACGCTGTGCACAACAGTGCGAGCGAGACAGAATAACGGCTGTCTCCGGGTAAAAAGGGTGCAGTGTGCGCTTGTGCCGTCGAGCAGTCGTCCCTCGCTCTGCGTTGTGATAACATTCCTGGTTTTAAGTAAATCTACTTACTGTACATAATTATTGTTTGTTGTTAGACTTTGTTACGTTTTTGTTTTGTTGTTGAACTGTTACTTTTTGTTTATTACAATGAACGAGTACTCAAGCCAGCATATCGCTGATATTCATTTCGTGTATAGATTGTGTAACGGGAGTGCAAATAGAGCTGTTGTCGAAAATGGTAAGGATGTAATCCTTCTCTTTTTAAAATTTTCCACACCGACCATTTTGATAGACTGAGACGATTAGCTATGCGTCTAATGCTCAGGCTAGGGTCTTGAGTAATCATTTGCAATATTTGATGTTCATCTTGGAGCGACAAAACACGAGTACGTTTGTTACCGAGCCTTCTTATTCCATTTTCCGCAAGTCTCAAATGAATTCTCACGAAAGTACGAGCATTCGGCATACGTCTGTTAGGAAATCTGCGTGCATTCTCTACAACAGCTCTATTTGCACTCCCGTTACACAATCCATACACGAAATGGATGTCAGCGATATGCTGGCTTGAGTACTCGTTCATTGTAATAAACAAAAAGTAACAGTTCAACAACAAAACAAAAACGTAACAAAGTCTAACAACAAACAATAATTATGTACAGTAAGTAGATTTACTTAAAACCAGGAATGTTATCACAACGCAGAGCGAGGGACGACTGCTCGATGGCACAAGCGCACACTGCACCCTTTTTACCTGGAGACAGCCGTTATTCTGTCTCGCTCGCACTGTTGTGCACAGCGTTTTTTTACCTGCTCACACAAAGGATGCTATTGTGTTTGCTTACGATTCCTTGAATTATTGAAGAATTTTATCTTACTCACTGGAATGGGTATTTAGTTATCTAATATCGGGATAGAGGCACTTTGAACAGTTACATTCAAATTATTATAGCTCCTAAACTATCTAACTCAGAGTTAAGATTTAAATGTGCATTTATAGCAAATATCCTGTATTATAATAAAAACAAGTAAAAAAAAATTAGTTAACGCGATGGTTTTTTTTTAAAGCTAAGAATCTGAAAAACAACATCAATTTGTTTTCTAATTTATTTTTTCAAAAATGTTTTTTAATAATACTGAATGTTTTTTTAAAAATAATATTTTGAATCTAGATTTATTGTCTACACTATTAACTAACATTTGAGACCAATTTTGTTTTTGAAAGTCTTCTACTTGGGTAGATATTGTTAAATTAATACAAGCATCTATGCTTCGCCAACAATTTTTTTTAAAGTGCTGCCATTTTTTTATTGATGGCGAAAAAAACATTGATCCCTGATTTGTCGATAAAATTAATTGTATTTTAACCCCTTAAAGTATCGGACATCGGAAACCGGAAAACCTGTATAATACTTATGTGTTTTAAGATAGAAAATAAAAACAAATTTACTTTCTAACTTCTAATGAGCCTTTTAATTGCACATGAGAATTATAAGTAATAAGTGTACAGTAATCAAATTTTTTGCCAATTTAGTTAATAAAGAGACGCATTACAGTAAAGGTCTTACATCCAAACTGAACAATTCAATGGATGTTTATAAATAATTAGAAGAGCCCTTTTATGTACTTAGTCCGAATCATTCATTAAATCCTTCAGAATTTCTAAATCGTTTTTGTAATAAGATGGTTTCCGCGACTTCGTTTTCACTTTCAAACCACTTGTGCTTGGTTGGTCAATTTTAGTCTTTAAAATATTTAAAGGAGTATTTTTAGAAACAGGGTTCAACAGTAATGGTATTTTATTTTTCATGGTAATAAAATACTCCTGCGATAATTTTTCGTTGGCGATAATTTTTATTTTATCTCTCCTATCTTCAGTACACAAAGCTTTAGGTTTAGACGGAGTCTCTTCATGTATGGTATCGTCAATCAATTCTAAGTTCCCGCTGAAATATAAATCATCACATTGTTGTGAATTGTTGTCTCGTGGAATCTCAACTTCTTCCCCGAATAATGTAATGTCATCAAACATTACGGGCATCGTTTCTATATTTGCAACTTCTATTCTATGTATTGTTTCTGTATTTGCAACTTCTATTCTAGGTATTGTTTCCGTATTTGCAACTTCTATTCTAGTATTGTTTCTGTATTTGCAACTTCTATTCTATGTATTGTTTTCGTATTTGCAACTTCTATTTTAGGTATTGTTTCTGTATCTGCAACTTCTATTTTATCTTCTTCGGCTCCATTTATGTCTTGGTCCGGTTTTTTAGTTTTTTTCCCTCTTCCCTTGCCTTTCTTTGTCTTTATGCATGTTATTGTAGTGGTTTCAGCAGTTTTTATTTTCCGGGTATTTTCAAAATTATCCTCATCTGTGTCCACATACTCTTCAGTTTCAGTGCCAACACTTCTTTCCTGGAATTATATCTAATTTTCTTTTTCTTTTTGATTCAGTTACATTCATAGTCCCATATCTCATTTCTTTAAGAATATCAAGGACAGATTTTTCAACAGCATCTTCTTTGTTTTCGTTATTATTTTCCTCAGGTAACCTACCCAAAAGCTGATTTTCATTAATAGGCCATATGCCTGTTTTTCTGAAACCTGCCAAAATAATATCTTTGGCATTTTGGTTAAGATCAATAATAAGTTTTTTCAAAAGATTTGGAAAGCATCCTTTTGGAACCGATGCTTGTGTTTTTCCATCGGTTTTCTTCCATTTTAAAAGAATGTTGCGCCACGCAATCTTCATCTAAGGGAAAAAAGCCACATCTAATGGTTGGATGTGTACTATTTGCTGGTAAAAAAACAAACGTAATGTTCTCTTCATGACACAATTTAATCACATCTAATGACAGGTGCGAGGATAGGTTGCCATGAGGCACTTCTTCCCTTCTTTACCTCTAAAATAAGGCAACGCGATGGATTTTATCCAATCCTCGAAAATATTTGCATCAAACCATCCGCTTGCCGACCGATTATTTCGTGTTCCTGGTGGCCCATTTTCGGTCCAAGTATCATAAAGGTTTTGAGCCTTGTGGACTACATATGGTGGCAACAATTCACCGGTGGCACTAGCAGCTATCATCACAGAAGTTGATACCTTTGAATGATTCATCACTCTCTCAGGGTACTTTGTTCCCCGTTTTGTTAGAATTTTCTTGCGACCTGGATCGTCATAATTAACTATATTACAGGGCTCAATATTTGCCAATGAAACTTCTAACTCCCGAAAGTAAGCTCTAATCGATTCCGGTGAGACAGCTGCCCTGTTTTTTTAATGTTCTGGCAATTTCTTTGTGAGATTATATCCTTATGTCTTCTAAGAAAGCTTGCAACAAAATCTGGTCCCGGAATATTATTTTTAAATTTCAGTACAGTTCTCCCTTGTTTGTCCAAATAACTTTTCACCAGGTATCTTAAATCTACAGAATCTAAAGGGTAGCCCCACTCTGCACATACATTTATGTATTTTATCATACCCTTTTCTTCCTCTTCCGAAAAAATGGTTTGTCCACCTTGTTTTCGCATTGTCCTTGTACTATGCCTATACAAAACTGACTTATCTATATTATACTTTTCAGCTACAATCTTTAATGACATTTTCGATTTTCTATATTCTTTAACAGCTTGTTGTATTACAGATTAATCATACTTTTTGTATTTTTTTCCTCTTGGGTCTGGCTTATACAAACGAGGCATTTTGTACCTACCTATAACAAAAAAAAATTAATGTAAATTGACCAAAAAATCTTCATTGTTAATAGGGATTAAGCAATGTGACAACCCTAGTAAGACCGTTTCTAATCACCCCTTTCTTGTTTTCATTAAACCCTTTTCCGTGTCTATTTACCCCATTCGTCGTATCTATTGAACCCATACTACGTATCTATTCGCCCCTTCGCCTTTTTCTTCGCCCGTTTCTATTAACCTCAAACCTAAGTAAAATCAAACAACAATAAAAATTTCTTCAATGTCAATGAATTCAAATCAAAATTGTACTTACTTGTATAAATAACTTGATCTTGATAAACTAAGGAACACTTTATATAACTTATATCACACAATATTTCGTATTTCCTATACAAAACCACCAACTATATGGGAGGTAAATTTGTCGCCGTAGGGCGGTTGATATTTGAACGTATTTTTTCTAACTTTCTCCTAACTTCATAGTGACCCGGAATTGCCATCTTATAAAAAAAATGTTGCCCTTTTAAAAAAAAATACTAGTACCATTTTTATTCCAAAAGACTGGAAGTCGGGACAATATAACTTTCTTGGTTTTGTCTCCATTCACCCCGCGATTTCTATTCACCCCGTTTTACGGTAAGCAAAATGGCGGATTGTGTCAGCGCTACTGAAGTTAGCAAACGTGTCCTGGTCGAAAACTGTTTAGTTTCGCCATTTTGCTTACAAGCGCTTGCTAGCGTTTTTTTCTGCCAAACGCACCTACTATGTCATGGCTTTTACTAGAAATAAAATAACAATTAAATGAGTGTGTAAATTTCCATACCTCACAACCTAAGCCTGGAGTATATCTAAAGAGATCCTTCTTGAGTTGCGTCAGTGCTAGGGATTCCTTAGGGAAACCCTCGTTCCCGCGCGTTTTGATTGCATTGATCAGGTGATAGAACAGCGTGTCCAGCTTATAAATACGGAAGAGAGATTCATCCTCAGCTATAAAAAAATACAAAAAAATGCTAATAGAATGAAGTACTATTTCCATTAAAGCAGTAATATGGTATAAAGTAGTTGTTACTTTTACTGCGTCAATTTGCACACGATAATGTATTAGATCGTTTCTTTGCGTAAATTCGGATTCGAATCTTAGGTAGGACAAAAATAAGTTATTGGGTTTTTTTTTTAATCAAGAAATTCGCCGTAACAGTTTGAAGTCAGGAAGTTGGTGGTGTTTCATTCCCGTGCTTCAAAAAGCACATAAAGCCGTTGGTCCTGCGTGTTATCTCTCTCCGGTCGTATTGACTGGCTGTCTCATCGCACTATGAGAGTGTGGGAATAGAGAACGCACCTGTGCTAGAGAATACACACTCATGTAATATAATCCTGTCTTGAACAGATGGCTAGTCTCCGTTGAGACTGGCCGCCATGTCATGATGTAGTTGGTTGCAAATGATTTCAGGCTCATGTGTGAGTGTGTGTAAATAATAATGCAAAATTAATTTAAATGTTACATTTTTTCTTAAATACTAGCAATTCTATTCACATTACTAATATTCCCTGTAACCATTCCTGGTAAACTTAAAATGCTAATGTTAGGAGTGGTTCATGACAGTTATCGAATGGCGGGTTCGAATCCACGACCTTTTAAGTTTGCGCCATTAGGCTACCGTCACTAAAAATATATTAGTGTATAAAACAAATGATGATATTTGACGTACTCCAATTGCATTTTCGAGCAACACAAGTACATAACACAACAGAATTTAACAACTTCCCTGTCCGCGAAATAGACACAGTTAAACAATCGAAATGTTCATATATGACTCATGGGACAGTGAAATGGTTAATAATATTATATATCACCGGATGCATACAACAATACTTATTGTTAAATTTAACAATAAGTATTGATGTATGCATCCGGTGATATATCATATTCTGTTGGAAATATTACATAGTATAATATAATAGTATGTGGTTTGAATTCACAAACAGAGCTTCACTTTAATCTGTCACGTACCAAACCAATATATGATACAAGCAAATGTCACCTTTACAGACCCCTCAGAACAGTTCTTTTTAAACGTTATTTATAAGAAATATACAACTAAAATACTAAAAATTATAATAATTTTTTTTAATGTTATTTAAAAGAATTTTTATCTGAAAAAAATATATTATTAAGCTTGGCTTGACCACAGGTCTGACTAAGTTGGCCCAATACAATGTCGGGAAATGTCGATGTCAACTTTAGTCTGAATTTTATTTGGAAGGGACACAAGATTTTGTAATTTGGTGTGTGTACGTGTTAAGAAAGATTTAAGTAGTAGTCAGTGTAGAGTAACACTTGGTTTGTGTGCATATCTATTGTATAATAAACACAATGAATTTCTAACATTTTTTACTTAAAACCGCGTGTAGGCACAAATAGCCTAATAGCAGAGACATAACATATTATTACGAATTCTAACTGGATTCATTACAAATCATAAATCAACGAAGGTCAGCATGGAACATTTTTATTGTGTTATTTTGTCCATAATAAATCTTTTCTCTGGCTTATTATATACACAAGAATTATAAAATTGTTAAACAAACACAATATTAATAGATGTAATAAAAGCGATTTTGTCGATTGGTTGCGGCGTAGAATAGAACAGAACAGAAATAGAATATTACACGCGGGGGTAGGCAGAGTCCGAAGAGAAGCTGTTTACCTCATTTAGCCAAAAAAATATGAATCTAGATGGAAAATTGAAAAAGAAGTGATATTTGACTAGTCTAACACTCACACAATCACAGCTAGGAAGTAACACAGTGTGCAATTTTTTTTTGTTATTAGCCCCACATAACATTGAAAACGATATTGTGCAACCAGTGCGTTGTCAGTGATGACTTATGGACCTAAGATTTGTTCTGGTTCTACTGCGAATATGATCATGCGTTTTTCCTCATACAGTCAGCTCGAAAGGACCACGGTGTTGACCACGGTTGTGGTCCTTTCCAGCTGGCCGTATGAGGAAGCTCAAAGTCGCTCAGCAAGCTATGGAGTGGATACTCTCGGAGTTTCTCTACGTCATAAACTTAGAAATGAGGATATCCGCAGTAGAACCAGAGTGACCAACATAACCCAACGGATTAGTAAGCCGAAGTGGCAATGGGCCGACCATATAGCTCGAAGAACCGACAACCGATAAGGAAAGCAAGGTTCTAGAATTGCAGCCTCCAGGAGGCGAAGTGTGGGACGGCCCCCCCACTAGATGAAGTGACAACCTGGTAAAACATGTAGAAAGTCATGCAGGTAGCTCAGGAACATGCTTTGTTGCTTTGGGGGAATCCTATGTTCAGCAGCGTACTTGTGAAGGGCTGTAATAATAATGATGATAACGATGATGAAACAAGGTGAACATCAACTCTACAAGTCCCAGACCAAAATAGGACAAGACTGAATATTTCGAATTCAATAATAGATTATTACAAAATACTTTTTCATCAGTCAGATGTATCGCACCTTTGATGCTGCGTGTCGCCGATCTGGGTATTTTACGTTTGGCATAAACGAGCCATCTATCGGAAGCTATAAAAAATCTGGTACTTCCCATAGTCGCCGTAACGACACCAACGGGACGGAATGGGGGAATTTTTTCGCTACCACGCGGTAAACTTTATAGATCATCTCGAAAATATTTTTTTATTTACCATTCAGAAAATTCCTATTTATCAACTTCATCCTTGAGCGTTAGGAACCACTATACATTTCACTATACTTTAGGAACACCAACCATACCCTTCACTTATTTATTTATACTAGGGCTTACAATATAATGATCTAAAAATATAAATTTAAGTTAAAATTCATTATACATCAGAAAATAAAACAGAAATTACCACTTCCGGGGAAATTATGATACTGTTGGTATAAATTTGGCACGCATACAGATAAGAATGATCTCTTGTATCTATATATATGATGATCTGTTGTCAATTTAATCTGCACACAAGTAAATAAAAAGGCACGCATTATTGGCGTTTTTAATACGAAATAAGGAGTTTATAGAGTCTAAGTACTAGCGTAGAATATTTAAACCAGTGAGGGGAAGCAGTGTCAAAGTTCGCTAATCTGTGTGCCAGACGATTACAATCCAGTAAAATTGACTGCTTAGGATCTAATGCCCGATTAGAGTGAGTTCACATGGCGCGTTGCGCTGCGCCGTCGCAACGTAAATATTGTGACGCATTGCCGGCCACACTGGCGCTGCGTCATAGCAGCGCTGCTACAACGCAGTCGTAACGTTTCGTCGTCGCAGCGGCGACGCACAGTTGCGGTGAGCATTTTTTAAAAACATCGCAGTCTGTTCGAAAAAAACATGGATCGAAAAAGACGTCTGGCATTGTTCATATTACTACGTCACCGCCGAAATTGACGCAAAATCACAAGACAGTATTGGATCTGTCCCTTAATTTCATTAAGAAATAGTGATGGACAGTTTTTTTTTTCTTAAAATGTATTCAATTCCTGTTGGACGAAAAGAAGTTTTAAATTTCTTTAGAATGAGTATGTCCAGCTTCGAATATTTATTCAAGTCCTTAGAGCCACACATACGGAAAAACTATACTAATATGAGGAATCCCATGGAGCCAATAAAACAATGCTGGGAATTACTATGAGGTAAGTATATAAGTAATGAAAATGTTATAATTTTTTGTCTGTTTATTTTATAATGTTTATAATCAAAAATTATCATAAAAGCCATCAAAGTTTAAAGAGTCATCATCATCAAGTAATTATATATTTGAAAATTTCCTGAATTTAATGAAATGAAGTAATCCATGTCAATTTATTTAATGGTACTTATTTTACTCTGCAAATTAAACTCAAAGAAAAAACTAAATTAACTTGCGTACTATCAACGCACAAACAACTGAGCGCTGCCGTACCGGCGTCGCAAGCAGTACTCCCCTTCCCCTTCGTCTCGGGGGCTTTCATTCATTCGTACGCGCATTGCTTCGCGCACCGTGTGAACACAATGGTTGTTAGTATGTAAAACGACGCAGTGACAGCGCTACGTCAACGCAACGCTGACGTAACACGCCGTGTGAACCTACCCTTACATTATTCCAGTGCAGTGATCGAGCGAGAATCCAGTCCAGTGCTGGAATGGATCTGTAACGTCTGCATTATTCCAGTTGCACTGGATTGGTCACGCTAGATTCAAAAGTAGACCGCCAATCCAGCTACTGGACTGGAATGCTAACTGGATTCAGTGTATTCCAGTGCCGGTTTACATTTTTCCAGTAAACAATCCAGCGCTGGATTCGATCACTGGACTGGAATAATGTAAACCGGGCATTATAGGAGGAATAAGAAACCACCAAGAAAAATTCTCTCTAACATACCAGCTCTGCTACACATTTGCAGAAAGAAATCCTGCACAGGCAAGACTTTGTCAGGCATTGTGAATATTGGTGGCAGAATGTTGGAGTGACTGTCCTTCTGCTTCAGGTAATCAATGATGGTTGCCAGGATCTGGATATAGTTGCTGCGGGGCACACTTTCGTCTGGCATCTCTAGGCCAAGCTCTTGGCTACCCAATTTCACATCATGTGCATAACCTGTTGGTATTGAACCTGAAAATAATAATAATAATTTTTTACATTTTAAAAATATTTGTATTATAATAATAATAATAGCTTCATTTCATCAATAACTTTTTACAAATAAATATGAAGTCCCTGGCACCTAATGCCAAGATTTCCCCCAAAGTAAATGTACAAACTCGGAGAATTTAGATGTATGTATTCTGTGAGAGCGTGACCTTCTCCGTTCTAGTCGACCCATTCGTGCTACAACCATAACATAGTTGAAGCTTGACTCTACCACGTAATAAGGTATAATAGAATATAAGATATAATAGGTTCGTATCAACCTTTTTCGAAAAATTGGGTTCGTTTCAAAGGAGCATTACAGTGAGGTGTTTCATATTCAAGTCAAATAAAATAGTCCTCATGGGTATAATAAATTAACGTAGACTTTTTACTCACTTTACTTTTGTACTTAAACTACTGTGCTAAACTGCTCAAATGAAACTGAACTGTCTGAGGACACTATTTTGGCTAATGTAAAACTCATATTTAATTGTATGCATGTAAACTTTAGATGTATACATGCGTGCGTGATGCGTGCGTGTGTGCGTGTGTGTGCGTGTATGTGTGGTGTATTTAGTATGTAGGACAACTTGTATATATATGTCAATAGGGTATTACACCCATTTCAAAAAGCGTTTTAAATGAATCCTAGAGTGATAATGAACCACTATTGTTTTTATGTATGTATTTTTTAAACCGAACAGTGCCATAAAAATTACTTTTAATCTATCGTTTTAAATTTTCGCGTGAAAACGCTAGTCGTCATGCTGTTCAACTCGTGACGTCACTCTCCCAGAATTTTGCCGATTTTGCAAAGGAATAAGATACTTTTTAATGTTTAATAATGTGTTATAATCTATATCATTCTTGTGTTGTCCTGAATGCAAAAATACGAGCATAAGAACGCCGGGAAAGTTATGGGTTTAAGTGCCAACTGATTTAAATATAAGAAATACTTGGTTAAAACTGGCAAGAAGATACCCGAACACATTGTCTACAAAAACTAGACTATTCTTCTGCAAAGATCATTTTGATGTAAGCATGACCTATATTTAACTATCGTTTAAATACAAAACAAAACATGAGGTGAAGGGTATCGCAAGTCCCCTCCGAACGGGTTCCCGCCTTGTCGAGGCGGGGGGACTTAGTAGCCGTGGCTTGGTCTCCCACGGTGAACAAAGAGGAACCCACGTGGCTGGCCCGAGGTGAAGGGCCGGACTGAGGTGGCCACTCCGAGTGGGCTTGGGGAGCCCACTTCGGAGGTGTGCTGGGGGACTGCAGCGAGTGGGGACTCCGCACCCTCTACCGCTGCAGCCGAGGTGGAGTCGCGGAGGAAGAGGAGTGTTGGTATGGCGATGCGCCACTCGCCCTATCCTCCGCGACTCAAACGGGGCCGCACCGTTGATGCGGTGGTGATGGGGCTGCGGGGGGAGAGGATTGTCGGTATTGCGAGGCGCCGCTCTCCCTATCCTCCGCAGCCGAATCTTGGTTGGCGGCGGAGCCATAGACCAGATCCGCCGCTGGGGTCGGGAAGGCTAGTACTTCGAAGGCTCGTTTTCCTGGCCCCATGGCCTTCGCGCATCGGACGCGGGGGCGTCTGTGCGGGTAATTGGAGGCCGTGGAGGAAGGCGTGCCGTGTTTGGGAAGAAGAACGGAAGAGAGGAATATTCCTCTCCCGAGGAGGTGCTGCCATGGGGCGGCAGTCGCTGGTAGGGCCGCGGAAGTGTGCGAAAGCGTTCCCGTAGCCCTGCCAATATGCGACGAAGGTGGAACACCATGGGGTTTTAGTCGGTGCGAGTCCGACATAACCCGTCCGTGCCCCCGCGAGGCGGGTAATGCGTAGGCATTTGCCCATGTTAAAAAAAAGGGTATCGTAAGTCAAATTTTGTAATAAATTCCGTTTAAATTACATTATTTTAACTAATGATTGCTAATGATTGTAATTATAGATGAACTAAACTATGACTATGTTTTATTAAAATACACTCTGACCTGTGCAGCGGCGCTGACGTCGCGCCGCAAGCGAAACACACCGAAGCCTAAATCACGCTATCAAAATTCCGAATCATAAACAGTATATATACGGGGCCCCGACACCTTTCCCGGCGGGAGATCTCCCCTTTTCCTTCCTCGGCCACACCTGGTATTGTGTTTTTGTGTAAAAAAAGTTGGTAATAGATACTTACATTGATTTTTTAATATTCCTCAACTCAGCAGAGCAAAAATTGGGATTGCATGCAAAATTTTTTGCCATTATTTATTTATCCTTGGTAGATTAGTACCTTCTGCTTTTACGAATTCGTCTTCCATGATGCCTTTTCAATAAAATTCAGAATAAAACTCAATAATCGTAATGATACTTGAAAAATTTCGAAATTACACAGCACATTAGCTAGCTCTCTTAAGTGGTTCGGGGGGGTTGAGATTGAGGACAGACAAAATAATATTCTTTTGAAATATAAAATTTATAATGCAATTTTATGAATAGAAATCAATATTTCTCGTCAACTTTTTACAAAATCTATCATAAATATTTTTTTTACTTTTTTACATAGTGTAAAATACCCTATTATTAGCCTAGCCTTTTTGCTTATCATTTAAGCCGTTAGTTGAACGTCTACGTTTAATAAAAGGGCTAAGCTGTTAACTAAAAAGCTAATTAAGCTATGTATGTAATTCCTAAAGGGTTTTTGGCGCGGGAATTAGTTTGCGTTGATGTCTTCATACATGTAAGCAGACTTCACAAGAATTTAGTATTTATTTATTTTTAAATATCAGACACATGATGTTTAGCAAACCAAGTACCACCTAGTAATAAACATTTTCATTAATACTGGTGGGGACCAAACTCTGTTTGCTTACGTAGCGTGATAAAGCTCTGTGACGCCAAGAGTTCGAAACGGGAATAGAACAAGTACATATTTGTATGGCCTTTAAATGAATCCCTTCCTACCAACCTACAAGCCTGCACGCGCAATTTTTCTAATTATTTATTTGTTCAGACAACATAAGGGTCTATTGGTAATGAAACACTGTAAGGAATTTATTCCTTAATTTATGTATGCAAAACAAATTTATTAAAACTCGTCCTTGAGACGGAAAAAGATTCTAGGTTGTTGGTAATTTATAAATAAAACTAATTAAGGCAAACATTCAACACTTGAGCTATACATAGTTGATAGCATTTTAAATGCATCCGTAATATAGAGGTTAGAATGTGTACCTTTGGGTTAATGCCTGTTATTGGTTTATTTATTAATTACTACTAGATAACGAACCTTACCTGGGTTAATAATTTCATGGTAGTTATCCTTAATTCCATCCTTTAGATTGAATCTCAACACGGTGCTCTCTCCTATAATGTAGTGAGTACCAGCCTTGCAGTAAAAGTTAACATCCATGAGATAGAAGTCTTCAGTGCATATGCCTTAAAAGGAAAAAAGAAAAAAGGTTTTTAGTGTAGAACACAAGTGGGGTAAATGGAGATTTCAGTAGGGTATTTTCCATAAAAATATAAAAAAATTAACCAATAGTATCTATAGTATTATTAAGTTGATATTTTTAACTTCACCTCAGTTGGATCGTTTAGGGATAAGATTAGATGTAGGCTAAGATGCAATAGAGGTATAGAGAAATTCACAACATAAATAGACCTACAAACCAACAATTTGTGTTTTGCACGAATATTGGCTCCATATGCGATTCTATTCCGGTATGGACCGTATGGGCTTAGCACTTAGTTATAAAAAGCTCATGACAGAATTAGAATTACCTTTATAATAAAATATTTTTCATTAAAAGTTATTTAGTTTGTAAATTACATCATTTACTTAGTTTTTTTTTTGTCCCGGACTACAGGGTAGATATATAGAGCCATAATCTCACCATACGAAACACAGCTTAATACTGCTGTGTTTCGTATGGTGAGTGTAGAGATCCGGAGACCCTTTTTTACCGGAAACGAGGCATTCCATCTTAGTCCTCAGGGGTGACAACCCATCTGCGTTTTGATTCTTAATCGGGGATAAATGTAGATGTCTATGGACCACAGCATCCACTTACCATCAGATGGGCTGTGTGTTCGTTGGTCATCCTTATTCTATATAAAAAATGCTGTGATTGCTGTGAGGCATTTCATCTTAGCCCTTAGCGGTGGCAACGCACCTATAGCTTTCTTTATTTGAATTTGGTTACGCTCAATCATATCAAGAATCTTTGCACTTATTTGAAAATTTCGACAACGGGAAAACAATACTCGAACCAGCATGCCCGCCTAGCAACTATGGCAAACATGACCCCATAGTTATTCCACAATCCCACATTACCAGCAACGTAAAAGTAGCGAAGTTGAAAATTAATCAAAATTAAGTCGGAATACGCGACAGTTGACAGTTTGGTATTGGCGCTTTTCATCGGCACAATCACAACATCAACTTAACTGCACTCAGCTATGTACCTATTCGTCTCTCGTGGGTATGGTCATAGCCGTAAAAGGGCTATGCGAGATGGAATCATACAAAGCTAATCTTATCATTATCTTATAATAAAGATGTTTATCATAACATGAGTGGGCAACGGAATAATGTACATTGCAAAAAGGAAATAAAAAATAAATATTAGATTAACACATTATAGCAGTTTATTCGAGTCTAATTATATTTTATTTTGCGAAGGGTTAGATTTTATAGTTTTGTATGATGATAACAAAAAAAAACATAACAACACAAATATATTTTACATACGGTCATCAGTAATTAGAAATAATGTGGTCCAATATCACACTAAAATACAAAGAAAACAAACAGTAACAAAATGCATGTAAGTACAAATACTCAAATGTTTTGCTTATATTCCATTACAATTTGAGGATGTTATTATGTCTCGACTCGACACATGTATTCGATACCTACGTTACGGTATTAAGATTTTCTTAGAACCAACAAGGCAAACATAAAAATACCATGCAAGATATGATGACTATGTATGACTCCGCACACTAGATGTACAAGTACATTACATGATGATAATACATCCGAGTTTTAAGAATATGATACTGTCCAATGATCATTAAATTATTTCAGTCTAGAGTAGAGCCGCACGTGATCCTAATGTAGGTATGTTGTTGCGTGATTCCCGTAAGGTTTACAAATGAAAATTTTAGATCCCCAAACTCCAAACCTTTGATTATATTATTATATGATCAAAGCTCCAAACCTAACCAGGGGATATCGCATTCAATTATTTTGCAAATTTTCAATTATAAAATAGAAATGAATTAGATTGGAAAACAGTAATATGTAAAATTAAAGTAATTTCTTGAAAAACCACTGACAGGTGTCAGTGCGTTTAGACGCGTAGCCCATCATATAATTTACAACGAAATCGATATACATATGTAGAAGTATACCGTAAACCTGAAATAATGTATTTTCAACCGACTTCGAAAAAGAAGGAGGTTCTCGATTCGTGTTCAGTGTTAATTCTTTACAACGCCGTTACATATATATATATATATATATATATATATATATATATATATATATATATATATATATATATATATAAAGGCGGCATATAGTATATATATGTATATATATATATACTATATGCCGCCTTTACAAATAATTGAATTTGATGCTTTCTCGTGGATCCCATCATCAGATCTCGACAAAATTTATATGGGACTACATCATACCGTACCGTAACGGCGTTGTAAAGAATTGTATGTATATATATATATACAATGCAGGGCATATGGGGAAATAATTCTATAGCACGTCAACCGATTTCAAATTATGTATATTATTTTTAGTACCCACTATGAAATCGGTTTATAACATTTTCAAAATTGAATCATCAGCAGGAAGTATCGTAAAACCAAAAAGGGGCGAGATTCCAATAAAATAATAAACATGGACGAAAACCCTGAAATTTTTTTCATCATTTATTACAGCCGATCAAAAGTCCATTGTTAAACATAGACCTCCTATACATTTGGGGGACATTTGCCATTATTGGCACACTTGGCAGGCAGGTTGGCAACCGCCGTTTTTTATTTTTTACTTGTTATTAAAAAGACGCTGCTGCCATCTCCTGGTTTGTTTTAGACCGTCGCCTCCTAGGACACTCACGAGGCGATATGGGCGTAGTGGATATTCCTACAACGCCACTACACGGTGAAAAATACATTAATCTTAAAAAATAAAAGGTCCACTAAAAAGATACAGGACCTTTTGTTTTGGCGGTATTTACACTTACGTCGCAAGTAGAACTTGAAAGGCAACTTTATATCTGAGCGTTCTTATCACGCAATGAACAATTAACCACCTTCATCCTTGTTTGTTTTCAGAATGCGATTAATAAATACGCTCAAGTCGATGTGAACAAATCGTTTGTTACAATGAAATGTACTTTGATTATATAAACGGAATAGTAAAATATTTCGTCTACCTACAATATTCTTTAATCAGAAATTGATAAAGTTCTTAAAATGAACTATATGTTATAGTATACTAATGCTTTTACAAAGGCAGTTACACTGGCAACGGTTTGAGGTCAACATTTTGCTTTTAAACAGCAATAAAACAAAATAATATATTAAATTCGCAACACCGAATGTTAAACAGGTAAAATACCAGTGTGCTTTTAAAATAGTCTTTTTGAATTTACTGTTTTTCATTTTCGGAATTACAGTTGACGCGAAGTTGTAATGGGACGCCCCCATATATGTAAATTAGGTAGCAAATATAGTTCTGCTCAAAATTATGTAAGAATAGATTAGCATATTTTTTAAATTATAATCATTTATTTACTTAACATTGAATAAATAAAACATTTAAAAAACTCTTTAAACTAATAAACTAAAAACTTAAATTATCATACAGAACTACTCCGCGTTGTATTGTGCCAAGAAAACTGCGTTTCCTCTCTGATGACTATACTTAGACTTTGAACGAGAGAAGAATCAGGCCTCTTATCACCAGCGGCAATGACCAGCCGCTTATACCGTTCCTTTATGAACTTTACGCGCGTGAACCCCACGAACCGATCTCTACAGCAAATAGCACAAATATGGAGTCACCTCTCAGGGACATCATATAGCTGCCTCTGATGGAGCCAAGGCTCTAAACGAGATACCCCTAAGATACGAGACTGCCAGTGTCTACGCAAGTAGCTACCCACACTAGCTTTACCTCTGTCCCAAAGGACCAAAGGTATACCGTCGGATCTCCTGCCACCGTCTCTAAATATTTTATAGCATTGGATGACAAACGAGCACACAGTCCACCTGATGGTAAATGGATGCTGTGGCCCATAGACATTAGACATCCCCATTTATCCTCAATTATGGATCAAAATGCAAATGCGTTGTCACTCCTGAGGACTAAGATGGAATGCCTCGATTCCAGTAAAAAGGTTCTTCGGTTCTCTACACTCACCATACGAAACACGGCAGCATTAAGCTACTATTTCACGCTGGTATTCTGTGAGAGCGTGGTCCTGCCCCGGTCGAGCCGGCCCATTCGTGCTACAACTATAATATAGCTGCAGCGTGGCTCTACCACATAAAACAATATTAACATGCCATAAAGTAAAAATATTCGACAAAGCTCTAAAACCGAGGAAACATTTATTGAGACAAAAGCTCTTCGAATGACATCGCTCAAAGAACCGTGACGGGAAAACCTATCAATACTTTTCTTATACATGAAATTACGTAAAGCAACCAGGGCACTGATGAGATTGACCAATCGCCGCTCTTAGTTGGATTCCTACGACTATGCCCATATAAATATATTTCTTTTATCTATGACTATGTCCAAGCTATCCTCATCGAGTAATGACGAGATCACTTGATGGTAAAGTATGTATAACCAGTGACTAGAACCACCTTAGTCGAAACAGCTAGCCCTTAATTAGGCGCATGGGGTCAAGACAATTTCAAATTGAAAAAATATTGTGTCTGAATGTTTAAAGCGCACTCGCGCACATTTAGCTTTCGCATTCCCTGCGAGGTAAGCAAATTAGCCGTGGCCAAAACATCTACGCGTACGCAGATGTGACCCCATGCGACCACTTACGTAACATTTCGTGGCGGAGGTAAGTGAAAATTTTTGTGTTTTTACTTAGTTTGTATTCGTATATTATCATTTGCTTTTATTATTAGTATTTGTGTATTGTTAAGGTGCCATATTTATTTTAGCTATTTTTGTATTTATTTTTATTAAATTTTCTTTTTTTCAGTTTGCAGTTTTAAGATGACTCGCAAAAGAGAGATACTGCAATGGCTGGCGGATGTGTTCTGCTAATGCTATCAGTAATGCTATATGCTGATAAGGGTACGAGGGCGGCACTGAAAATTTCGGGAATTAAGGAAGTGACACAACATTACTATTTAAAAATGTATTTCCTTATTGCTTTTTGAAGTATTCTCCGCGAAATTTGAAACGTTTTCCCATACGATGGAAGCAATCATTGAAGCAACCATTCCATTCGGAAGTTGGGGACTCCAAAATGGCCGTTTTGTAGGCGTCCAGAGCTTCTTCAGGTGTATGAAAATCTCTGTCCACGCAATTTATTCTTTATTTTAGGGAAAGTATAGAAATCATTAGGGCTTAGGTCGGGGCTGTACGGCGGATGGTCTAATAATTCTATGTTTTCTTTTTTTTTTTTTTAACTTTTGTTCTGTGTGCGGTGTGAGAACTCGCATTGTCGTGATGGAGAATGATGCGGCGGTTGCAGTTCTCTTTACGGAGTTCAGAAACGACCTGTGGCAAACAAATGCTAGCATACCATTCTGCATTAACCGTTCTTTGTCCCTCAAGAGTAGGGGTCGCAAACCGGGATCCCGAATCTCGAAAATACCGGGGATACCGGACTGAAACGAAAGCTTTAAAATACCGGAATTGAGTTAACGGAAACCGGTATTTACGACTTTTCGGTATTTCATTCATCTTTGTTAAATAATATAATGTCAAAAAAATTTAAATAGCCCACGCCTTTCGCGTGGTGGATGCTACGGCAACGCGGCTCGACTATGCAACGCAAGTCGCGCGACTACACTCTGGAGTGAGTGAGAGAGAGTACTTACTCGTAAAATTTAATTTCATTTAAACTTCTTTGATTCATTTAAAAGTAAATTTATAACATTCTTTGCTATCGAATTTAACCTATAAACCAGATTTTCTTCTTCTCCAGAGATATCGCTTTTGTAACCGGTGGTAGATTTTAACGTTCATAGAAGTTTTACATGATCTTTATTAAACTGATATTTATTAAACTTTAAATAAATGATTGATTTTTTTTTATATAAATGTGATTTTCTTATCATATCACACTTCTATTGATTGGCTGGTGAGAATTCCCTTATGAAAACTACGGTTACATTACATATTTTTCAATATTTTTCTCACTATGTTAAAAAAGAACGAAAATACCGAAACTACTGAAATCTCGGTATTCATTAAAAACTAATACCGAAAACACCGGTTTTTGAAAAAAGGTCCGGTATTGCGACCCCTACTCAAGAGGAATAGTCGTAACATGGCCGGTTTTGGAGACAAACGTGGCCACCATTTTTTTTTGCAACACTCCGTGAACGAACAATTTTTGTTGGCTTTAACTCATTTTCGAACACCCAAACTCGTGACTGGTTTTTTGTTTCGGGTTCGTACGCGTATATCCAGGATTCGTCACCTGATACGATGTTGTATACAGCATTTGATGATCCTGCGTGGAATATTTCGAGAGTTCCGACGCACCAAGTAACGCGAGCCGCTTTTTGCTCTTCACAGAGCGAACGCGGTATCCATCGGGAAAACAACTTTTTTACACCTAATTGTTCATGCAAGATTATTTGTATTTGACTCATGCCAATGTCTAAAGTTGCCTGAATTTCGCGGTATGTCACATGTCGATCTTCCTCAATCAGCTTACGCACAGCATCAACGTTTTCTTGGGTGACTGCAGTTTTTGGACGACCTTGACGGGGATCATCACTGAGCTTGACACGTCCACGTTGAAATTCAGCAAACCAGCGATAAATTGTGGTTTTGGATGGGGCTTCATCACCAAATGCAGAAATCATCCGGTCAACACACTGTTTGTGTGTTAAACCACTTCAAAAGTCATAATAAATCATCGCTCTTGAATTTTCTCTAGTCAATTCCATTTTCTCAACGACTAAACAAGTTTGACAAAACCTTGTGACAAGATGCCGAGAATATTTTTTTAAATAAATAAATGGTATTCGATTTTTAAAACCAAGGAGTTTTCAATTAAAAAGATTTTAATATGACAGGAACAGTGGAAATATTCCATTCCCGATATTTTTAGTGCTGCCTAGCACACACATAAGGCGTATTTTTTAAAGATTTTTTTTTTGGGAAACAAGTGCTGCTGCTACGTCAATTTCAACAGCGTGCTGTTCCTACTATAACGAAAAATCGGCAAATACCAAAGTATGGTAAATTTATTTGTTAACAACACTTTAGGGTATATAGGTGTGTCGGATGCAGAATACAAGAATCTGCTGACGAATCGGATTAATTTTTATAACGTTGATCTCGGCTAAACAAAAAATAAGTAGTTTAGAGAGTGATTAGAAGTTTTGTTATTTTTTTAATTATTTAAAGTCAACCGTATGTTTTAATTCATTAAAATTAATAGTTTTGATAAAACATACTTTGTTTTATTTATTTCTAACATCTATTTTCAACATATATTTGGGGTCACTAGAGACCCCATGCGACTAATTTGTGTGATTTTCTTCATGCGCCTAATTAAGAGCTAGGTATAAGACGAGCCTGAGCTTGGTCAATATGGAAATAGTGAAACAAATATATCTCTGCATACTCCGTAACAATGTTTTTATTTAATATAGATTACAAGTAATTCTTATTTTACCTTTAAAGTGTGTAGTCATTTTTACCTTCACAACTGGTTCAGAAAAAAATAGTCCATAGACATCTACATCTATCCTTGTTTGCAAATTAAAAGTGGAGATACGTTGTCAGCCATGAGGACTAAAATGGAATGCCTCTTTTCCAGACTGACTGTCAGTCTTTGAATATATGTTTGGGTTGATCTACGCGAAACGAGTTTTACAGTATCTTGCAAGAATCTAAGGCTAAAGCACCGGCAACGTCGGGAATTAAAAATAAGTAAATTAAACGCGATGAAATTCGTAAAATAGTTTTACATAATGATTTCCTATATTGATTATTATTATTAAACATTGGGGGTGTGTGGGTGGAAGAAAGGGATGTTTCTTTTTTTTTTTTTTTTTTTTTTTTTTTTTTAATAAAAGTACTTTGCACTACCCGTGACCATGGGTGCTGCAAAGCACCCGAAATGTTGGATATTAACATTAAGTATATTAAATGTGATAAAATCTGTAAAATTAGTTTTATTGAAATTAGTTTTACTCAATATGTAGTATTAGAGTAAATATAAGAAGTTATTACACTAGTAAAGGAATATTATTGTTATGTAAGTGTACTTACTTCCTTTAACAAAGTTAAGTGTGACTAGATTCTTAATATCCTCCAGCTCGGCTTCTTGTGCCTCACGAGCTTCTCTTTCTTGTTGTTCTAATTCAGCAAGAGATATACCTGACAAATCACAAATAAATAAGGAAAAGAAAACATTTTTTCCATTTTTTATTATACTTTTTATATATTTTATACATTATTTATCTGAAGGTCAAGTTTTATATGTTTTACCTGTGCTTGTGTATTTCATTTCAGGAACATTATACTTCTGCTTAGCCTTTTTAGCCATATCTTCAAATTTTGCTCTGGTAGAAGTTGGCGCATCCTGCATGTAACATAAATATGCAATCTTAATGTTAAAATCAGTTGCATAGCCTAGCACTAGTGGACCCTATATCAATGTTTCTTAGAGGCATCTTTACCAAAAAATATTCCACCTAGGCTACATGTGATGGGCCCCTTTAACTTATTTTATTTATTATTACATGCTAACAGTTACATTACAACTCAAGGTTGCTCAATGATGCTCAGTGAGCTATGGGGAAGGCTATGCTTGGAGTGTCTCCGCATGATTTTGCATATTATTTTCATATATGTAAAATCATGCAGCATGTTTATAAGTGGTAGAGCCATGCTGCAGCTATATTATGGTTGTAGCATGAATGGGTCGGCTCGACCGGGAAAGGACCACGCTCTCACAGAATACCATCGTAAAATAGCAGCTTAATGTTGCTGTGTTCGTATGGTGAGTGTAGAGAAGCGTTCCATCTTAGTCCTTAAGAGTGACAACGCATCTGCATTTTGATTCTTAATCAAGGTTAAATGTTGATGTCTATGGGCCACTAGCATCCAGTTACCAACAGGTGGACTGTGTGTTCGTTGATCACCTTAATCCTATAAAAAAAAATGTGGTAGAACCATACTGCAGCTATATTATGGTTGTAGCATGAATGGGTCGGCTCGACCGGGAAAGGACCATGCTCTCACAGAATGCCAGCATAAAATAGCAGCTTTATACTACTGTGTTTTTTATGGTGAATTTAGCAATTCGGAGACCCTTTTTTACTGAAACAACTGCATCTTAGTTCTCAGGGTTGACAATGCATCTGCATTTTGATTCTTAATCGAGGATAAATGTAGATGTCTATAGGCCACAGCATCCACTTACCATCAGGTGGACTATGTGCACATTTGTCACCATAATTCTTTAAATAAAAGATAAACTTAGAAATTAGGACATCCACAGTAGAACCAGAGTGACCGACATAGCGCATTGGCTTGGTAAGCCGAAGTGGCAATGGGCCGGCCGTATAGCTTGAAGAATTGACAACCGATGGGGAAAAAAAATTCTACCCCTCACTAGATGTAGTGACGACTTGGTAAAACATGCAGGAAGTTAGTAGATGCAGGCAGCTCAGGACCGTGATTTGTGCATTACCTTGGGGGAGGCAAGCAGTAGACTTGGCAGGCAGCAGTGGACTTGTGAAAGGCCGTAATGATGAGCTACCCTTATAGGGTAACTTATTGCAGTAGTGATATATTTATTAAGTATAGTAATTAAGGAGCCATATACCTGATATAACAGCTTTACATAATTATGGTAAAAGATCCTAATTCATTTCTATTTCATAATTATGGTAAATTTAGCAGGGGTGGGAGATATGATAAGGATATAGAACGACGAGTGAACGCAGGAAACAGAGTAAATGGAACCCTGCACTCTATTGTGAAGAGTCAAAATGTGTCAAAAAAAGGCACGTATGGCAATTCACAATGCTGTGTTGGTCCCTACTTTAACGTATGGTAGTGAAAGTTGGGTATGGCAGAAGAAGCACGAGAGTAGAATAAATGCAGTAGAAATGCGGTCGTTAAGGAGTATGTTAGGGCTGAATCTGAATGACAGGGTGAAAAATTGTGTAATAAGAGAAGAGTGTGGTTTGCAAGATGATGTTGTGACCAGGATTAAGAAAGGAATGCTTCGGTGGTTTGGTCATGTGGAAAGAATGGATGAGGAAAGAGTGACAAAGAAAATTTATGTTGCAGAAGTGAATGGCAGAGTCGGAAAGGGACGTCCTAGGCGAAAATTTATCGACCAAATTGGCGATTTATTGAAAACGGGTCAAATTAGGAGTACCCTTAACCGACGAGCATGCATGCGTAGGTGTATGAATGTGAAGGAGGCGAGAGAGGTGTGTCAGGATCGTGCCAAATGGAAGTCTGTAGTCTCTGCCTACCCCTCTGGGTGACAGGCGTGAGTGTTTATGTTATGTTAGTCCTAATTATTTGTATTACCAACTAGGTAATGACTCTTCTCTGCCTTTATATAGCAAAAAAGATTACATAGAATTATTTATTACATAAAAATAAGCTTTGACTGAATTGCAAGTTCTAAATTTTACATGGTTTTAAACGGTTGCACCGTTTGATCACCCTTTACAAATTACTACTTAGTTTAAAGAAGTCAAACATCTTTTGTTGACATAACATAAGAAATATTAGTAGAACAATTTGGCTACTATAATATTTTTAAAATCATCAGTAATTAGTCAGTAAAACTTGCCTCTCACTACATAAATCTCTTAAAAAAATGAATTACTACATTTGGAAAAATATACATTAATTTTTAGAGGAGAAGAGATGCTCTGCGTGAAACCTTTGTAAGGTTTTAGATATAAGAAAAAAAAAATAATCTAATCTCTTTAATTCTTCTTTTTAAGCAATTCTTTAGTTATCTTTTTGTGTAAAGGGGCGAGGAAAAGAAGGAGTTGGACAAGATTGTGGCTTTCAAAAGCCAATATGATAGAGTTGATGCAACAACTGGTATTTCTATATATTTTGTTTTAGATGACAACTGATATTTTTAGATATTTTGTTTTAGATAACAACTGGTAATTTTACATATTTTGTTTTAGGCAACCAACTTAGGATTGCAACTATGGCTGCATAATTGCATCTCCTTCGCCTTTACATAGCAGCTTGCTGGCACCCATACAGTGTTTGGGGTTGTCCTGGTCTTCAATATGGTTGCAATTTAGCTATCATGTTAACGTAAAAAAAGATGAATACTACATAAAATTTTTAGGACTAGACTAACATAAATAAGATTTATTCTTCATAAAAGCTTGAACTATCAATTCCACTGTAGGTTTTTTATGGTTGACCGACACTTTTTTTACATGAAACCTAACTCTGAAACTCCAAAGTGAAGAAAACGATCTTTAAACACCTCCTATAATAGGGGGGTCCTGCCTTTAAAATACTAAACTAGAAAAGTAACTACCGAAAACCCTTAAGTTAGATATTATGGTTTTAAATACTTTTTTATTACAGATTAAGATATATTTCTTTACAATACCCTCCAAACTGGACCAGCCGCTTCTGCTACCTCTGCCATATTCCCATAATGAATCCCCTTTTTCCTTTGTTGTTCTTTAAAATCCACCATGAAAAAATAAAAAGCGTTACGTGGTGGCTTTTTCGGCATTGTTGTGATATAATATAACTAATTTAAAAATTTGTTTAAATTTTTAACACCCTTCTAAAACTTTACACTACTAACTAATGTGCACAGATTAGATAGAGAAACTGGCGAGTGGCGACTAATGTGACAAATAGAGTTTGCATTTTGCACCGGAGCAGTGAGTACGGGAGAATCACCGGTGACTTCCGGTAAAGCAAAAAGTACTCTGTGCGGTAAAGGCCTGAATCAGGGTTTCCGATACTTTTTTTGCCGCCAGGCGGTGCTTCGTATGCGTCAGGTCCAAACAGCTGTCAGATAGCACAGATTCCTACCGAACGTATTATTTTTTTTAGTGAAATTTTATGTATTTGGAAGAGTTATTGATTTTATTATGGATTACGGCCAAAGAAAGGTTGCCGAACTGAAAATTGAGCTCAAAAAGAGAGGCGCAAAAGTCACTGGTACTAAAGAAAAGCTCATTGAAAGGTAAACATAATCTACTTCTATTTGTTTCCACAATTTGATTGTTTTTTTTTTAACTACTAAATTGAAGTTATTTGTGTTTTAGTGAGTTGTTGTTGATTAATGTATATTATATATTCCAGGCTAAATGACTATGACAGAAACAACAACTTCAAATCAAATGAAAATGATAATTCTCATCTCTTAAGTGAGATTAATTATGTAATAGAATGGCCAGAAGAAAAGTTATACAAAAGTGTAGATTCAAAAACAGTTTTACCCAATTTTGACATTATTAACATAAATACGTATTTCCTTGAATTGTATAAAGACGGCATAGGAATGTCAGATTATTCTGCAGTGCACAGAAGAGGTTATAATATGCTGCAAAATAACTACCTACTCGCATTAGTGACCGCAAATACTAGTACACATATATTTTTCAAAGGTCAAGTCCATTCTGAAAATACAAAAGCCCTCACTTATTTTGCTTCCATTGCCATATGTAATGGAAGTGGATCTATTATACAATCGGTGTGTGAATGTGTAGCAGGGAAAGGACCAAAAGCCATTTGCAAGCATGTGTCAGTTTTGTGCTATGCTATACTCAAATTCCGAGAGCAGAATATATGGTTAATTAAAATGACTCCAACACAAAAAAAACAAGTATGGCATGTACCTAAAAAAAATAAACTTGATGTTTCGCCGAAAAAAGCAGAGAACCTTTCATATGAAATAGCAGAATATAATGTTTGCAAAAAAAAGAAAAGAAGTGTGTGCTATGATCCAAGACCACAGTCCTTTATCAGTCAGGGAAAAGAATGGGCTACAACAGTTAGAAATAAAGTCATTAACTACTGCTCATTGTCACAAAAAAGAATAGGATTATGTGGAATTTTGGACAGTGCAAACATGCAAGATGTGATACATGACCATGATTACCTACCTTTTCCTTTACATCATCAACTTATTCTTAATAAAATATCTGTAAGCCATTTATTCCAGATGAATTTATTTATTATAGTAGCTACGACTTGTACAATCTTATTGACTGTACTGTAGCAAGCGAGGTGGTGAATCATGAGAAGTTGTAGCTACTATATTTTTTTATTATTTAGTATATTATGTAATCATCAATATTAATTGCACTTGCATAGGGATTGTAGATGTTTGTTTAGGTTTATACTTTCATACTTTCCTTATCCTTTGCCCCTAACAGGTTACACCTGACTCAGCAAAGGAAATTGAAAAGAAAACTAAAAATCAGACGAAGACAAAGTTATGGCATACAGAACGATCTTTTCGAGTGACTGCTTCAAGAGTCGGTGAGATTTGTAAATTTACTGCTAAAAAGGACCAAGAAAAGTATGCACAAAGCCTTATATGTAATAAGAAAATAGTAAGCACGGCCTTAGAATGGGGCAAGTCTATGGAAACCACAGCAATTGAAGCATATGAGGGGAAAACTGGAAAAAAAGTAGAACGCTGTGGTTTATATGTTTCTGTGCAGTACCCTTTCATTGGCGCTTCTCCTGATGGATTAATTGGAGATAACAAAATTTTAGAAGTTAAATGTCCATATTCCATAAAGGATGAAATGATTGGATCCAACAATTATTTCCATTTAGAGCATGATTTGCAACTGAAAGAAACAAGCAACTATTATTACCAAATCCAAACGCAGTTACTTGTCACAGGAAGAGATTGTTGTGATTTATTTATATGGACTAATGTTGATGAAAAAATAATAAATGTTAAAAAAAATGATTCATTATTTATACAAAATATTATAATCCCTCGAGTAAAAGCTTTCTTTTTTTCAATTTATGTTGCCAAAGATAGCAAAAAATATGTATGATTGTTAATATATTTTTATAGTATATTGTAAGATTCTATGTGATAGAAATTAGAACAAAGTTTAATTTTGTATTCTTGTTATTATTTAATAAAGTATGTTTAATACAGTACTGTTAAAAGCGACATCAATTAAATAAAATTGAAAAAAACATATTTTACTTTATAATATTATTTTTGAAATTGGTTAACATAAAACATACAAATATTATTCTATCTGCTAAAGGCACCAATTTTGAATCCAACTTGCCGCTTAAGATCTTAAAAGTTTTAGCCAAACCAATGACCCTTTCAACGTGTATCCGTTCTGAAGATATATTTTTTGACCTTGTCAGTTGAGAAGTCTCAAATTGTCCATCAGTATTTTTTAAAAATTCTGGCACATTAACTGTAACATCTTTATGGCACACTAGGTCTTGTACATTAAAGCCACGGTCACTAAAAATGATATCATTAGGTTCAAGTTTATCAATAAGTCCACATTTTTCAAACAATTCACGATCACTCGTAGATCCACCATATGCATCGGATACAAATGTAACGCAGCCTGATGCTGAAATCCCAATTAAAACTTTTAGAGTATTTGCTGATTTGTAAGTGGAATATGTAAGCTGTTGTGTAAGTGGATTTTTGGGCTTCTCTATTTTTATTTCCGTGCAATCTACTATCACAGTGCATGGATTAATCTTGCCATAGTATTTCATATTTTTATCTATGCATTGTTTTGGCACCCAAACATTTAACTCTTTCAATTTACAATATAAGTAATTGATCCATGTTATGAAAATGTTACTTAGTACCGTTTTATTAATCTTCGATCGAAAGGCGAGTTCTGTAAATAGCATGTTCCGGCGTAATTTAATTAACACTAGAAGGAATTGATCACAAGGGTTTAGAAACGGCACCTTCAATGTTTTCAGTTGAGGATAATATTTTAAACAATTTACTTCATCTCCAAAAATACTAAATATGAATTTGATATGTTCATAATCTTGGAAACCAGTATAAAACTGTACTTCGGCCGCATTGGTTATATCTAGCACATTTGCAATTGAAGATTTTTTATTTTTATTTTCATTTTGAAGACATTCTTTAAGTGTTTTGAGATTATCACTTCCACATAAATCACATTGGATACCAACATCATTCTGTTTCTTCTCGAATTCAATTTCTACTTCGAAAAAAGTTTGTAGTTTCCATGAGGAAGGTGTCATCCTTCTCTTTTTCATTGTTTATGTGTACTTGGACACTAATTTTCCTTTCATTTCGCGCCAAACGCCTTTGATGCCGCTCCTTCTTTTTTGATGCAAACTAGAATTTTGGTCAATCCATGGGAATCGACTTGGCACTGCACATTTTTTCAACACAGGCCTGGCTGGAATAATAATTCAATAAATATAATGTCATAATGAAATCATTTTTGATAAGGCAAGTACTAAAAAACGTTTACACTACATCATTGAAGGTTAGTCGCGCACAGATATAATCAAGGTGACTTAACTGAAGCTTATCATTATAAATAAGTACAAAATATTCTTACGTTTTTCTAATACTGAGTCCTTCGGTAGCTGGTAATCATCCTTTGTGAAGTGGCTTTTGCAAACGAGGCTATTTTTCGTTGGAGTAAATTTATCTCTGCGAATGGCTACAAGCCACTGTTTTAATCGGTTTTTATCTTCTGTAGGGAACTTATGCCCTCCTTTTTTATTTGCACACATAGGCACTGCACAACACTGTGGCATTTTGGAAAACAATATTCTGTTTGTAACGTTTTTAAGGATAAATAAACCAAAAAAATGATCGAAAAATATAAATCGTGTAAGTGTTTTGACAGGTAGTTGGACCTGACACTACAGCGCTGCCATCTCACGGGGAACATTTCAGAAAACCCTCACATTTGATTAGTACGAGTGCAGGTGATTAATAATTGCGGGTGATTAGTGCAGGTGTGTAGACTAAATAATGTCCAATTTTGTTTAGTGGCTGTGTTTGGTAAATGAGACGGAGCGGTGTGATTGTTTGTCCCTTTCCCCGTGCCGGTTTTTTTGTTTAGCAAACTACACTTTGCTAAACAACTTTGACAGTTCGTAGCGATCTAAAGAGTTTACAAGTTGGTTTAAGTGAGAAAAAAGTGTTTTGTGAGCTTAACATTGGTGAATCTTGTTCAGTTCAGTTCTTAGAACAATTAAAATTTTTATCTAAACATGTTTACAAATCATAAAGATTATTTTATAACCTAAAACTACGTTATCGTCCTTTCTAACTCGAGGCCACGCTAATCATTAGTCTATAGGTTTCTCTGTCTACGGGTAAAGGCCTGTATTCATTTGATTAGTGCGAGTGCAGGTGATTATTAATTACGGGTGATTAGTGCAGGGGTGTAGTGTAAATAATGTCCACTGTTTAGTGGCTGTGTTTGGTAAATTCAGTTGTTAGCCGTTGACCAGCAAGTACTCTGTTTAACTTTCCTAACCTCTCCCGAATACGAAGATCTCAAGTTTCTTCTTTTAGTGCAAACTTCTTTCCTTCCAAACCCCGGTATGTTCATAGCTTCACTTATACGTAGAAATGCCACATCTCGAGCTCCTTTAATTTTGCAGTTAGGGTATTTACTATCGTAAAGACATTAATTTTTTTGATACTCCTGCACAAACTTTTGGTTATGTCTTCGGTCCACTTTGCCATTTTTTCAACACAAGCGAGCATCC